TGTCATATACAGATCACAGACAGGTATAGTATGTACAAACAGCATACAGGAGGCTGATGACCTTTTCACTGAAGACATTTTAATATGTCACAAAAGCAGAGGTGTAATAAAATGAACGATGGCTGAATCCCATTTAGCTGCTTCAGTTTTAGGGTCCTGATATTGTGCATGCTGGCCCCTCTATGTAGCTGTGCTTACAATGGTGTTTAAAGGGGCACCAAGTTCAACCAAATTACTGACTGTTTATTCTCACACTGCCCCTATGAAAAATGTGAATAATGTGTTTTGTGGTCTGTCCAAAGATTCAAAGGTTTCTTTTATGATAGTTTTTAATGGTGTGAGCAACTCCAAACAAAGTGTCTCTATTGGAGGCAGGCATCACAAAGACAGATATCTCAAAACCTGGACAAAATAAGTGGGTTTTTTTTTGTAATCTGGGTGAACTGACACTTTAAACTACCTTTTCTTTATTTTTTCTCCCCCGCTTAACTCAAACCTTTTTGGCAGTTTCATGAATGTTTTGTCATTGTGACTAATCGCACTGATCCAGGATTACACAGGTTAAATCAAACCATTAAAACATTTTTTTTTTGGCCTAAGCCTGATTATGAGGTGCCTTCGTGTATCTTTTCTCACTCTGTGTCATTTAACAGCCTGTGTGTGTACATTTGTGTGTATGTAGAGAGTGAAGGAGACAGAACCCCCAGAGGGAGGGAGGGAGGGAGGGAGGTAAGGAGGGGGCTTCTCTTGAGGTGAGACGTGTAAACCTGCTGCTGGTAGCAGGGTTAGTCTGGATTAGGACATGTATCTGTGGGATAAGGCTGAGTTAGTGGGACCCTACAGGCCTCCACCTCACACCATCTGTCCAAACAGCCACGACCTGTCCTCAACTCTGTCACTCTCTCATTCCCTCTGTCCTGTCTGCCAGTACTCTCTCACTCACTTATACTTCTTCTTGGGTGCTATTTCTTGTCAACTTTTCCACAAAAAAAAAACAACTTTGTTCCAATTGTCTCCCAGTTCGGTGGCTCCCATTTCATGACCCCACTTGGCCCCTTGAGAGGCTCTCAGAGGATAAAAGCGGGAGGACGTGAAACCGGGTTTACGGGGTGACGGAGAGGTTAACTTCCCTTTGAGGAAATTTGGGGCAAAGAGGGGAGAGACTCAAGCTTAAAGGGTCAGTTCACACAAATCACCAAAACATATTTACACAAAACATGTACATACTTTTTTTTTTACATGCAGATAGTTGATGTTTTATTAGTTGAGGTTTTGAATATTCCCAATAAAACTGTTCACACTGAACTCTAAACAGAGGAACTGCCACTTTAAAGTAAATGTTCAACATTTTAGGGAATGTATTTAGACTTAGTCTTGCAGATAGTTATAATATACATATATATATGTATATATAAATATATATACATATATATTCGATTGTTTCCACTCTCATGTTTGTACGATAAATATTAAGTTACAGCCAGCAGGTGTGTTTAGCTTAGCATAAAGACAGGAAGCAGAGGGGATAGCTAGTTCAGCTCTGTACAAAGGTAACAAAAAATGCCTAAATCATTATATCTTATCTGTTTAATCTGTATGAAAACCAAAGTGGGGCCACGCAGGTAGCTCACCTGTAGAATTGGTGCCCCATGTACCAGGGCTGAGTCCTTGCTGCAGTGGCCATGAGTTCAACTCCGACCTGTGGCCCTTTCCTGCGTGTCATCTCCTCTCTCTCTCTCTCTCTCTCTCTCCCATTTCCTGCCACTCCTCAGTTGTCATTATCAATTAAAGGGAATCAAATTCCCCAGAAAACGTCATATTGTGGTTATAGACGAACTATTTCTTGTACGGTCACAGTAACTTGCTGGAGTCTCTACTGGTTGCCTGTGAGCAGGACTACGTATAGTTACCAAAACGTCAAACTATTCTTCTAAAACCCAGGTTATGATCACTGGCTTAAGGCCCTTTGTCAAAGCAAGACCTGAGTCAACACTGGGGGGGGGGGGCACAATTTCTTTGCACTGTAACTTCCTGGACTTTCTGCTGTTTGGCAGGACACCAAGAAGCAAGAAAGCAAATGCACATATTCCACAAAAATGTCCTGGCAACATGTCCTGCCCTATGGCTAAAATGTTTGTCATTGTTTCAAGTGAGAGAAAGTCAGGTAATTTGTCTGAAAGGTTGTAAAATTAAATTAAGTATGGTAATCCAGCACACAGTATACATACAACCTGCAATCAGAATACAGCACCAAACACTCACTACTTCTACCTCTAACCATTATGATAATCACAGTGTGGGATCCTGAAGAGCTAATTGCTTAAATATACCTCTGCAAATAAGGCTGCAGAAGAACAGTGCACAGTCTCAGGCTGTAGATCAAGTCCCACCTGAATGTGAGCTACATCTTTCAGCGGCTGCAGGACAAATGTGTGCAGGGCTGTAGATGCAGGAGCGGTGGTGGTGTGTTTGGTATGAAGTATGAGGTAAGTTCCTCTGTGTCTCTCCCTCTCTTTGTCCCTCACCCTCATGGGAGGCCCTGTTGGTTTAGCTGCTAAGCTTTCCCCGGAAACACAAATGATGGACAGATAGTGAGGTTAAAATAGAGAAAGAGAGGATGAGAAACTGAATGAAGAGAGTAGAAACTGTTATATGGTTTTTTCTAATGTGGTATTATCTCCTTAATAGTTGTCATTTTTAGCTTGTTGCTCAATATGTTTGCTCATCACAAAATCCGAATTTCTGTTGAACTGCAGTAAAATCTATCCTATTTGTGAGTCTTGTGCTATTTCCATGAGTCAGCGTGTCTGATTGCTTTAAATGTTTTGTTTACTGTCCAAACCAGATTTACGAAGGCACTATTAACTCACTGATTCCTTAACGAGACACTATTAAGACACAGAGAGACTCCGGATTAACAAGTTTAGCTTTTAAGGAGCATCGAGAAACGCTTGTTGTGCATTTCTCTGCTCAGCAGATTTAAATGGGTCAGGAAAAAAAAAACAGAATTAATTCACAGATTTTGAGGCAAACTGCAAGAGGCAGGGCAGTGTGGAGACACAGGGGGTGCTAATTTGTGAGAAGAAAAACAAACCCCTTTGTGGAAATATTGAAATCTTGAAGACAGCAGCACTAATTTGTTGGCCCACAATTTTGCAACCGAAAAAGTTTCACTGCAGACAATTGCCAATTGTGAACTGATGTATTTTCAGTTGTTCTTTCAACATTCATCTTAAAAATTACATTTAGTTTAATCGAGATGCCAAATCCCAGACAAATTAAAAACTTTGGGTAATTAAGGACAGAAATACCATCCTTTTTCAGAAGATTGGCATGCATGTTAATTCTGAAGGACAGTAAAGGCTTCACTGTATATGAGCTGGTTTATCAGCAAATGTCAGTGAATTGTAAATTAAGGTGGACCCTGTATTATTATTGAATCTTGGGCCATCTAAGGAGCCTTCTGACAAGATCCAGTTTTATTATTTTAGTTGGCATCACTCCCACAAGCTGCACACATTATTCACATTACAAAACAACAAACCTGGGACCAGGTGTATTCAGGCACAGAGCTAATAGGGGGTTTCTGCAGCTCTTGGCAATATAATTAAGCCTCATTATTATTATATGATATTGTTGTTTGTATTAAAGGAATAATAAAAATCGAATAACAATTTTTAAAATGACTCACTAAATCTCACTTCAGAGACTCTTGTGGGTTCTGCACCTGTTCACACCTAAACTGTGATGCTCTGTAAATAAGTAGTAAAAGTAGGAATATATTAGTTTGAAAACATTCCATTACAAGGTAAAAGTCCTTCCAAAAGTATTAAGTATAAAGCAAAATGAAAATGAAAATAGTCATTATGCAGAAACTCAACTTTCACAGTGCCATACCATTAATAACACACTGTATTACTGGTTATTATTACTTAATGTTGTAGTTTGCCAATTTTAATAGTAAAGCACTGCATCATATTTTAAAATAAAGTAACATGAGCTATTATATAAATGTGTAGTAAAAAGTACATTCTCTCTGAAATATAGTGGAGTAGAAGAGTAAAGTAGCAAAGAATGAATATGCTCAAGTAAAGGACCTCAAAGTTGTATGTAAGTACAGCAGTTGAGTAAATGTACTTAGTTAATTTCCACCACTGTGATTTTACACCAGTGATTTTACCTTATTACAATGAAATGTTCAATAATCCAAGACACTAAAGAGTTTACTATGAAACTCCACACGTACTGTGCATCATGTGACACACATTCTTCTGTCCCTGCCGGTGTGTTTATGGACATATTTGTTACCTGGCTCAGTTCAGTAGCTGTGCATGTCCACTGTGAGGCAGTACAGAGTCCAACTTGTGCCAACTCAACTGTCAAGACTTTGTTTAACTCTGTGACGAATGACTAAACTTTACTTTCTGATGACAAACTGAATCTGAGCTGACACCATGACGGGTTGTTGTGCAGAGGAGTGTGTGAAAACTGCACGTGTATTACAGATTATATGATTTAGCATGTGATGAAATGCCGGATGTGCATGTGCCTGTGTGTCTGTGTGTGTGTGTGTGTGTGTGTGTGTGTGTGTGTGTGTGTGTGTGTGTGCGCGCGTGCGTACGTGTGTAAAAATCGTCCCAACATGTGTGAAATAGTTTGACCTTTTATGAATATATAATATCAGAGGGAGAGAGAGAGGGGGATTGTAGGTGTGTGTGTGTGTGAGAGAGAGTGAGAGAGAGATACAAATAGAGATACACAAGGAAACAGATAAAACAGAAATGTAGATTAAATGAGAATAGAGAAACAGGAATAGAGACAGACATAGCGAGAGATAAAAACAGAGAGAGAGATTGCCAGAGAGTGTGAACATGCCTGTGAACCATGAGAGAGGGATATGTGGGGAGAGACAGAGAGAGAGAGAGACAGAGAGAGAGAAACATAGAGAGAGAGACAGAGAGAGAGAGACAGAGAGAGAGACAGAGAGACAGAGAGAGGAGGGGATTGTTGCAAACAGGGATTTGCAGCAGAGGGGAAAGAAAGAAAGGGGGCAGTGGCACTCAGTGACAGAGTGCTATACACACTCACATGCGCACACTCACACACTCTCTGTTTCCTCTGTGTCTCTCTCCAAACGTGTCAGTCAACCAGTCAGTTGATTATTTTTGTGTGTGTGTGTGTGGTGGGGGGATGTTGAAAAGAACTCGATACCATCCTTCATCTCTATGACCGACGGTAAGATCATTTCATTCACTTTGACTGTCATGTCTCTCACGTCAGGCCTTCATCTTTCCCAACTTTCATTCTACTTTTTTCTCTTGTGTGTGTGTGTGTGTGTGTGTGTGTGTGTGTGTGTGTGTGTGTGTGTGTGTGTGTGTGTTGCTCTTTTTTTGGCTGGCTTTTTGCCGTGACTCTGGTCCACAGCCAGTTTGAGGCCTCCATGGAGCCCTGTCACTGTTTGCTTTCTTTTACAATCCATTTTGACGCACAGGGGGCAAAACTAATGAGCTGTGCAGCAGAGGTACTAGTCAAAGGTGGATTTTTAATTAGATGTTCATTACATAACACTAATACTATTACATTTGAAGGCCTGTAATTACTGATGTCTAAGGGAATAGCTTTGTTCTTCTACAGCTTTCTTTGATATCCTTACTGTATAATGTTGAAACTACTGAACTTTTTATTGATATTCTGAGGAGATTCTCAGTCTTTTCAGTTTGATCAACCGTGTGTGAATGTTCTGAATTGTTAGATGATTGTTTAACTTATTTGTCACCCTGAAAACAGAATATCCTATGAGTTATTATACACTCTTTTTTCATATAAGGTTTAATTTCCATATGAAACAAAGGTTGTTGATCTTGAATCTGACTAGACTTGACAGAAAAAGAGTTCTCACATTTTAATGCATAACATTTAAGGTCAACATACCTTTTTTCACCCCTGTGGCCAAATAAAAATGTGTTTCGATTCATTTTAGAAAGTCTTGGGCTCTGGATTAAAGTCTGAACCTGTTGATAATTGGATTTGGTCACTGAGACTGGATCTTTCTGTCAAAAATGATTAAGCCCTCTGAATTCTTGCGCTTCAGTCGGTTATGTGTTCAGTAGGCAGATCCTTCTAGAAATATTACATGTTATATCTATTGTGTGCGTCTGTCATTACACTGGGGCAATAACCTGCAATCATTTCTATACAGAAAAGAATACAATACTTAGCAGACAGAAGATGAGTCATTTTAGATGAACAAATGTTTCCAACATATTTGCTTCACATGCAGAATTCTCCCTTTCATAGATGAGATTTGGCATTACTGGCTGGAAAGAGCCAATGTGACGATCATTGTTTGTAACTGTTTATAGAAATTAAATGGCAGAAATAGTTGAACATGCACAAATTTAAAGTTTCAAGTACATTGTAAAAGCTTAGACTCAAGAAGACCTGGTTCATCTGTACACGTCACAAACCTTTGCACATGCCAGTTTACATGCACGTGTATGAGTGTGCATGCGTTGATAGTCGTGTACATGTGTGTATAAGATGTTGGGCAGGGGGGTTGTGCGGCAGATTAGAGACTTAATATAACACATGAACAGGCCTGACACGCAGACTCACACAGTCCAACTTCCTGTTGAACACAGTCAGAATGACCTTTTTGTCAAGGTATTTATGGTAAAATCATCTTTAAATTAATTGAGGAGTTTCAAACACTACAGCCTGAACCAATGCAGACATTTACAAACTGGTGTTGAACTGTTTTTGATGTTTATAATCCATACAATTAAATTAGTTTAATGAACTTAATACATACATTAATTGTAGGAAGTTCATGTTAATATGTTGGGAGGATTCTTTCACAACCTGGCAACCTGCAAGTTGTTCTTATTATTGGCTGATAACTGATCTATGAAGCAGTGAGTGATTGAAGGTAAAATTTTACACATCAAGTCAGTTTACAAGCAGTCAGTAGTAATACCAAACTAGTTGCTAAAAAGCTTTTTGGGCTCCAGAGGGAGCCACGTGAAAACAGATAAAGTGCCTTGAGTGATGTCGCTTGAGTCAGCGTTGGTTGGGACCAAAGACTACAAGATTGAATGTGAATAAAATCTGGGGGTGTGGAGTTAGAAAGAAGTGAGTTTACCAGATCTCTTTGGCTGCTCCTTGTCTTTGCTCGAGGTTACATTTGCTGCAACGAATCTAGCAGTTGAGTTGCATTGTGGGTAATGCAAGCACAGTTTAAGACAAAGCAGAATTATGTGTGAAATAAAAAAAAGGATATCTTTGGTTCTGCTAATTTGATTTTGATTCTTTGTTAAACTGTCCATCAACAGTCATTGCTAGAGTACCGAATGGAGTACCTTATTATAAAGTGGTTCCAAAAAATTATTGAAAGATTTATTCCTGAAAAACGTGTAACACTGTTCCCTTCTCTTGTCCCTGTACCCCAAACCCTCTCATTCAACTCAAACCTTTCTTCAGGACAAGAGATACAGAGACAAGGACACTGGGACAAACAGTTTCTCACAGAGGAAACTCACCGACCAGTCTACTTCCTGACATCACCACTGCTGCTGTCTATGAGCTGCACTGAGGCAGAGGAGTGGACCTTCCAACAATCCTGACACACGGAAAAACCCTGTTGAAGCTCCACCAGCAGCAGCAGCAGCAGCAGCAGCAAACACCATGTCCTCTCCTTCCCTCCCCATGCCTTCTCTCCCCCCCAGCCCTCTGGCCATGGAATACCTAAACGACTTTGACCTCCTCAAGTTTGAGGTAAAACCTGACACTCCTCCGCTCCCTCCTCCATGTTCGTATCCCAAATCTGGCCTTCCTCATGACCCCTCCAGCTCTCCGTACACCAGCCACCCTCCGCAGGACTCTAGTTTGAGCTCCAGCCCTTACAACTCGCTGCCACCCTCGCCAACTCTCAGCGACACCCACCCGCCACCTTCGGGCTCTTCCTCCCTCTCTTCATCGTCCTCGTCCATCTCCTTCCCCCTCTCCATCTCCAACAGCTTCACATCCGGCATCAGCTCCGGCTCTCAGGGGAACGTGGAAGGCAGCCCGGCCCACGGTGGGCCTCAGGGTCCCACCCCAGCCTCCCTTGAGGACCTGATCTGGCTGGCGGCACTGCAGCAACAGTTTGGAGGTGAGGTGACAGGGCCCGCCACTTTGCTGGGAGCCTTGGGAGGAGTGCCAGAGCGAGGGGACAGAGAGAGGGGGCCGGTCAATGGCTTTCTAGGCTGTGAGGATGCTGTGGAGGCGTTACTGAACTCAGCTGCTGCAGCTGTCAGCTCGCAGGTACCAATCTGTCATTTCTGATTCTTCTCTCTTATACAGAATGTTGTCATAAAAGAGTTGACTTGAGTCTACAGCCTCCTCTTCATCTTCTTCATCATCAGTTCCCAGGTCTTTCTCAGAGTTCAAGCAGCAACCTGGGAGACTCGAGCAGCGACAGTGGAGGAGACATCTCCTGCGCTAAAGGGACAGACATGTGCCATCGCCCGCTTGTCTTCCTCTCCTCGGCCCAGCCTTCGCTTCCCAATGCCACCCCTGCCTCGGCTCCCTACCCGCAACCCCTCAGCCCCCAGGGCCGCCTTCATCACCACCAGCATCACCATCATCAGCACCATCCGCACCACCCCATGCATGGCAGCCATCATCATCATCACCACCCACAAATGAGTCAGGTACACAGAGCTTCACTCTCACATATCAGTCCAGATTGGGTGGGACAGGTTGATAATGCTCGACAGGAAGTGCTCATCAACAAAAAATTGGAGATTTTTGGAAGAATTGATGTGACAGTCCCACAGAGACACTAGAGGCATTAGAGGGCTGAGCGGAAGGAGAGAGGGATCGTGCAGTGAAGGATTAGGATTAGGACATTAGAACATGGTTATTAATGTCTGTGCCTATCTGAAGTATCACTGTAAGGATCGCTCTTTACATGGCAACAATAAGTGAAGCTCAAGCTTCGTCTTTGAGGGTGCAAAGTCTTAGTTTCTCAAGGAAAAACATGTTTGAGACACCCCCACCCATTTAGCATTTATAAGCACTACATACACATGCTTAATAACACTTTATAACATAAGTGCATATCAGTGTACATTTATTATAATGTACATGCATTTGTCAGCAACTATATACATATATTTTAGTCTATATTGTTACAACTGTGTTTTAGCATGTTGTCATTCATTATCTGTTCATACACCAGCTTGGTGCCAATTACAGGTGCTGAAAAATACATTGATAAACACTTATATCTGCTTACAGCTATGTTGTAGTGTGTTATACACCAAGTATTAAATGTTTATATACCACTTATAAATGATATTTGTGACACTTTAAATGACCAGATTTGCTTGGAGGAGAAATCAATTGCTACTTGAGTAAAACTCAGTCTTGAATGCTGTTTGAATGTAATTTTAATTGGTGAATAAACTTTGGTAATCTGGTTGATCAAGATGTCTGGGTGGATCTCTATATGGAGCACAGTGTGAGCTTATGATAATATCTGCTATTATTGCTGTGCGTAATCCTGATAACTGTCACCAACACTTAGTCAGATTACATGACAGATTATGGACATGTGGTGCCGAAATGTGCCCCCTGACAGACAAACACCCAGTACAACACATCACATGTCCACCACTCATATGGCAGTTGTATATATTCAAGTCCTTGGATAAACATACTTCACACTCATCTGATTGGTACACACTCCAGCATGTGTCTCGTTGCCAAATTAACACTGAGCAACAACATATTCTCTCTGTGTTTTCTCCATCTGCTCGGCAGTGCGGGATGAACGAACGCTTCTCTGATGAGCAGCTGGTGAGCCTGTCGGTGCGGGAGCTGAACCGACACCTGCGTGGAGTGAGTAAGGATGAGGTGGTGCGCTTGAAGCAGAAACGCCGCACGTTAAAGAACCGTGGCTATGCGCAGTCCTGCCGCTACAAGCGCTTACAGCACCGCCACGCTCTGGAGTCAGAGAAACATGTGCTCACACAACAGGTACACACACATGCTTATATTTATGGCTCCACTGATAATCTTCATATTTCCTCTTTCAGTCCAGGGTAGAAGCACTAAATTCTGGACCTTGTGCACAGGCCCCTTTCCCCCCAGTCCTACACCCCTGTCTGTGTGCATCCACACCTTATCTGACCCCAAACTTAATAATATATTTAATACCAGCATTGTGGCTCAGCAAAGCACAAATAAATTTGAACTTTTTTCTTTTCCTCCTCAGTTGGAACAGCTACAGTGTGAGCTGACTCGAGTGCTGCGAGAGAGAGACGCCTACAAGGCTCGTTACGAGAAGCTCATCAGCACAAATCACAGCATCGGTGGTGGCGACGCCCCACCGACCCGCACCAGCAACCCACCTTCCCCGCCCCCTGACTACTTCCTCTGAGTTGAACCCACAGGGAGAGGAAGAAGAAAGGAAAGAAAAGAACTAGAGGAATGAGTAACAAGACCAGCCAACATGGAGCAATCAATGATGAGTAATCAGACTTGGGGAAGAAAACAAGGATGTGTATGTGTGTGTGTGTGTGTGTGTGTGTGTGTGTGTGTGTGTGTGTGTGTGTGTGTGTGTGTGTGTGTGTGTGTGTGTGTGTGCATGTGTTTGTGTGTGCGAGAGAAAGTGAAAGAGAGACATTGGCAGGCAGTTCTGAGGGCTATACAACTGTGAAATCCACCCTTGAATGATTAAAGGGGAATTGACTGTTAATTCATAGGGTTAGACTCGGCCCTAGGCTGCTGCATGGACTTCATTTTAACTTCACTGTGAATGAGAGTTGCACAAAAAACAGCTGAGAGCTCTTTGAGATCTTTGGCTTGTGATATCAGTGCAGCAGTGGACAGACAAGACTATGAAAACTGATGAAAAAAAAGCTTTATCTAGCATTAAAACTCATCAATAGTCCCTTACACTGCTTAGCGTATTATCTATGCATTAAATAGCTGCAATGTACTCTCCAAATGAGTGGTTGAGGCTCAAACTGTAGTTGTGTTTTTTTTATAATAAGCTGCTAAAGCTGCAGAGGTCTGAGTAGTGCAGTGGTGCTGGATGTGGAGTGGTATGGGCTTGGATAAAGTATCCACGGCATGCAGTTGTATTTGCCAGCTAATATTTCACAGTTGCCTACCAAAGTGTTTAAGCTCACCAAGACTTGTTATTCTTTGTAAGATGAATAATCATAGATTAAAGAATGTACAAGGATACCTTTCATGGGGATCTTCCAGTGATTGTGCTAAATGAAATAGTGGGGATATTGCTCTTGTGTTTTAGCAAAGAAATCTACCTTTTGCTAGTCAATAAATGGCGACTTTCAGCCAAATAACAGCGACACTTGCTGTTTGCTCTCAAAAATGGGTTTTTACATACAGAGAAGTGGAGCCGACAGTGTGCTTATCTAAAGTGACTGCATATGGTAAAGGAGAGAAAGAAACCCATCGCAGCAGGCGAAAAAAGAGTGTGGCATGATTTGTGTGGTTGTGTCCAGTTCTCCAGACTAGAAGAAGCTATTTCTGGGCAGAATGAACACCTCTGTAACAGCAACGAACACCAATTTATGCAAAATGCGGCACCACAGAGCTGGTCACTGTGGGCTCTGGTACTGTGGGCTACAGATGCAACAGAAAATTAACGGTGCAGGGATAATAAAAAAAATGCAAAAAATCTCTTCATGGAGACACCTTCTTAACTGTCCCATGAAATCATTGCCAGGGTTCATGCATTAGAGCTATTTATTTTGTTTGGGTGTAGGTTAAATACATTGTTCTTTTATTTATTCACTTATTTATTCAGTATTTATTGTTTATTTATGTACTGATTCTAATTATTTTACTGGTTTTATTCCATTAGCGTGTATTTTTACTTTCCTACAGTTTATTATTTTATCCAATTGTGGTTAGAATTAACATTACTACAAAAACGATGGCCATAATCATGGTTTCCTGCTCCTGTTGTAGTGTGGTTTCATATGCATATGAAATAAACAAAGTACTTTACCATCCCTGTCATGCTGTGGTTTGTTTTTGTGCACTTGTGCTCAGGTTCTAACCCCATCCCTTTTCCTTTCACCTATCTGAGCATCTCCCACGTCAGTCTTCCACAGGCCTTTTCTCTGCAGCTCGCCCTGCAGCCCCCATGCCCTGCTCCATCCCTCTCTTTATCTCTGTCCCTCTATAGTGAGGCAGTGACCCTGGGTGTGCACTGTTTGGGATGACCTCATCTTCAGCTCTACCTCCCTCTCTGTGTCTCTCGCTCTCTCTCTGGCCTGTATAATAGGAGCAGGATTAGGGCTATAATAGCGCCCTGGCTGCTCACTGCCGGAGTCTATTGTGGCTTTGTGTGGGAGGGACGCACCACCGCTCATGGCCACACTCACATTTTGACAGAAAACATGTCCAAATATACACTCCTTGGATCAGGGACAAGAGTTGACTTGATTTAATAAAACACAAATGAGTCATGTGTGTCTTCAATAAGGACACAAGGGAGAAGAAGAGAGAGACAGACTGATAGAGCTGATAGACAGGTAGGTATGTTGCCATATGCGTCTTGCTACCAAAGGAATACCCAGATGACACATTTTAAACATAATATATCCCGCAAGGACACACACACACACACACACACACACACACACACACACACACACACACACACACACACTTACAAAGCCAATTAGTGGGGAGAAGTCTTGTCTTATGCTGCCCCCTAGCGGCCGTTTACCATATCGCCTCCATCTTCCAGAGGTCAACGAGAGCTTCGTGACACTGAGCATCTTTCCACAGTGCTGCTCCCCGCCTCCCTCCCTGCATCACCGCTCTGTAGTAGTGCTGAGCTGCTCGCACCTGCACAGCAAACAGTGCCAGTGCGTGAGTCCTCCGGGGGTTGCCAGTTCCACCTCTCCCCTGCAGGAAGTCCACATATCTACGTGTCAAGTCAGTGAGTCACAGTCAGTGGTTTGGAGAGCGGTGATGAATGACGGTGCTGACTGCAGAACCGGACCTGGGCCCTAACCTGAGGAGTGATAGTAGAGAGAGACGGGAAGAGCCATACACTGAGGGCGAGAGTGCAGGAGAGAGAGAGAGGTAGAGAGGTAGAGGTAGAGAGAGAGAGCCCGCGAGGAAGGGAAAGAGAGAGAGAGAGAGAGAGAGACCGTGCTTACTTTGTAGTTGCCGAGAGCCGCGCGTGACAGGTGAGAGATCATACTGTGCTGTTTTGGGAATGGGCTTCACGAAGTGAGTGTGGCGAGGAGGTGGGGGGTTTGTTCTGTGTCTTTTTGGAGTCCTCATTCCCGGTCGCTTCATTTCAGTTTGCAGATGCCGACAGATGTGCCCGAAGACAGGCTCAACAACGAGGAGAAAGCGACCAAGGTAGGATGCACGGGGCAGACTGCTCCAATCTCCAGCATTTAATTAACCAATCAGGTTTGGGGCAAAGTGGTGGGATGTGATGGTTAATAGCCTCGTTCTGGAGGGGGTTTGCTGAGCTGCCAGTGTGTGTGTGTGTGTGTGTGTGTGTGTGTGTTTCAGGTGGGTGGTGGTGCAGGGAGAGGGCGTCCTGCATTCAAATTGCTTTCTAATTTTACTCACTAGTTCAAATTAAATCCAACTTTTGGTAATTAGGGGGTTATTTTGGCCAAACAAATCCACCTGAGCCTGCCTTTTAAAATAATTATTCTGGGTTGTCTCTGCAAAGCTTTTCTGTTTTGGTTCGCTCTCACCAGGAGGGTGGAAAAGCTCTGAAAGCCAACTGTATGCTAGCTGAACTGTTTCTAATTTATTAACCACTTTATAATGTTGATTTGGACATGTGAATAAATAATACAAAATGTTCTTCAATAAAAAAAACAAACCTGTATCCTAGCTAACCAGTAATGGCAGACAAAGTTAGTGATTAGCATTTGCTGGTGAACAGAGCGGATCATTTATCATCTATGGAGCCAGATATTGCCATCAGGAGTTGGTGGAGACCAAAAAGAGTGAATATTGGACTTATCTTCATCTGGAGGACACAAACTCTACTCCATATGAATGCGGATGTTGCTCTGTAGCTGTATCTGTGTATGAAGCCAACCACTTGCCACTGAGCTTTAAAGGTAAAAATATGTTAGTGTTGTGTTTACAGCTGGTTCCCGCTGCCAGAATCGTTTATTGTTGGTTCATAGGGGCACGCCACCGATATTACACTTAAAGGTCAGCTCACTCACTCTGTCTGTGGAGGAGCTTTGACATTTTAATTTGAAAATGACCCTGATGATGTCATCAGAGTTCATTTGGTCTTGGTTTGAGACACAAAAGCTGTGTTATAGCCTAAACTGTGGGCGTGAAGTTTGAAAAATGGGGGTATTTGGAGGCAAGGCAAGTCTACAGAAAGACGTTATTGAGTTGTAGGGAGTTGTAGTTGTAGTGTTTTTAAGCTTGATTCAAACAAGGGACTGAAAGGCAGGAAGACTTGGCCTAGATTTCTCTGACTTTATGGAGGTGCAATAGCAATACTAAATAGTTGGAGTATCACACCATCATGCAAAGCAGCCTTTGGGCACTTGATTTTTTTAGTATTATTTAAGAAACACCATATTTGAATAGAGACTAGCTTTAAATGTTATCAAATGAAGAGAGTATCCCTCCGTGTTCCTCTCTCCTGCAGTGTGACAGTATGACTCTGTCCAGCACCCCGGCTGTTCGCAGAGGAAGCACTCCTCTGCCAATTAAGCACCAGCTCAGACGAGAAGAAGCTGTCCATGATGACTGCGATTGGGCATCAGGTGCAGCTGGACCTTCTGCTTCACCAATCAGCTTCAGCCCAGCCTTGGATGACACTCTGACTGTGTCTGTGGAGGGCGGCAGACCTGATGGGCCTTTAAGAATCGCACTGCTGGGGCAGAATGGCGTGGGGAAGTCTTCTCTGGCCATCGCCCTCGCTGGAGACATGGACAGAACAGCGTCTGTGGATTCTGAAGGTACAAAGCTGTGTGTTTGACAGGACTAATACAGAGCAGTATAATGCAGTGGAGAGGTGGCCCGCAGTGGCATTGATTGTACAGTGAGCAGCAGGTAAATAAATCACAGCACCCATCTCCCACCTGAGACCTAACTGCTGCTCTCCCTGTCCTTAGGGGAAGGTTATGTGCGTACAGTCACCGTGGATGACGAAGAGAGCACCATCATTATCTATGACAACTGGAGACAGGTGAGCCAAACAACACTTCCCCGTTCCCACGTTCCCTGCTCCCTGCTCCCTCATTAGTCGACCGAGGCCTCTCTGCAGCTGTATACAGTGGGCTCGCCTGCTTTTGGCATTTCACTCTGGTGCATATATATATATATATATATGGTCTTGTCAGAGTGCCTGAGGGCTGCTGCATCCTTGGATTGTTTTAAAAAGGAGTTTAATGTGTTGCTTTTCAGTTCGGAATCTTAATTTACTTATTCTATATTGTATTTTCGTTGAAGCTCTTTGTGTGCTGCACGTGATAATAATGTGCTTCATAAGTAAGGAGGTAAGCTCGGGAAATAATTCCTGGATTTCTTCTGCGTTCATAGAGAACCAACAGCATCCGTGCATCAGTCCACTCACACATACATTGGGCATATCCCAGCATGCACTGTGCAAAAGGTAGGGTACACCTTGGACAGGTTAGTAGTACAACTACAGCATATAGCGTAGGAAATTAAATTCAGGGAAAATATATTGTTAAAACACCAACAGTGAAAACAGATGAACAGATGCTTACTGCATATGTAGCATATTTTTAGATGTGTTCATATTGTATATCTGGAATAGGGTGCATTGTTTATTATACTTGACAGCGCTATAACAAAAAAAGGATGCCAAGCTCAGAGAAATGCTGTGGCCAAAAAAAGGACAATAAATCTGCTGCATCTGCATCCGGTAGACTGAGGAAAGCTCATTATCAGGTTGTTTTGCACACTTTTTCCTCTTTTCCCTTGAGTGCAGTTCAGAGGCATCTGTGTGTGGACGTGTGAGAGAGAGAGAGAGAGAGAGTGAGAGAGAGCAGATGTGCCAAATGACTACATTAATATTTCTGATTTAGGTGGATGTGTGAAAAAAAGAAAACAGAATTCACACACTTGCGAAAACAGTCTGTCTTTTTGTGATGTAGGGATTTTTATGTGTTACTCTTTGAATAATGAGTGATATTTGTTGTGAGAGACACTGCAGTGGGCACCCTATAAAGAGTTTTCTTATATAATTGTAGTATAACGTCTGTGCCTTTGGTCTACGCTCAATTCTGGACCTAATCAAAATTAAATGAATGAGTCAATAGACCATGGCAGCTAATGACAGGCTGAGGTTTTGTCAGTTGTTCTACAGTGGGAAGGATTCACTCAGGGATATTTTATTTTTAGAGATTTGTGTGTGTGTGTGTGTGTGTGCGTGTGTGTGCGTGTGTGTGCAAGATTTTGAGGTGTACTGCATTTCTCAGTAAACCACAGGGGGTTTTCGCTAGAGCACTCAAAGGTCTGGTGTCCCACTTCCACTCTTATTCACATAAGGCTTTGACGACAACATTTATGACAGCAATGGAAAGTCAAATGTTCGGTCCCTGTCCTGACATCTCGCTGTATGTCTAAATGGCAACTACAGTATTGTAACATGTGTGTCTGCCTCTGTCTGTCCCTCAGGACCTGTCGGCTCTGCTGTGTGAGGTGTGTGTCCTGGTGTTTTCGGTGACTGACAGGCGTAGTTTCCACCGCACTGCTCAACTCCGACTTCTCCTGAGGGAGACTCAGCCCCAAACTCCCATCATCCTTGTCGGTAATAAGAGTGACCTTGTTCGCACACGTGAGGTCACCTCTCAAGGTAAGTTGAACCTTTACCATATTGGCATTATTTTCTTCCATTTTGGCTTTTATCGTCACGGTTGGTGTTGACATTTTCAGCTCTTCATCTCTGTTGGTAAACACTAACGTAGAGTGAAATCTGTGAATATGTAAATGTCAGTGTATCAGCTCCATCGCAGTGTGGGAGTATGAAGGAAGTCGTAATTACAGTAAAGGCAGGAGAGCATTCACTGTGAGTGCGCTGTGTACTATTACACAGCCTGTAGATGGTGTACCTCCCAAAACTTTGGTATTTCTCTACAATATTAAATATTTATGTCTAAATACACAACAAAGTTAAAGTAAACATCCATAGTTATTCTTTATTAAGAGTGTAGAGTTGCAAAGTGACTGAAAAGGCAAAAGGTACAAGCCTGTGTGCATACGACTCCCATGGTGCATTTTGGCAAGACATTCTGTTATCCATACAGTGTTGAGATAACTGAAAACATAATATGCCTCTGAAGTCAGTTCAGTTTTGATTTCTGGATCCGTTTAGGGTGGCACATTTTGTTCTCAATGATGAACCATGCTGAATTTCCTACAGCTGTGACTGGCTTCTTCTCTATAGCAACAGCGATCGAGGCTCATGGGTATTGTAGTATTTGGAACCGTCTGCCGTGACTAAATGATGGACCCAGCGGCCCCAATAACAACAACAATCCTGACATTCGTATTGCTAAATTCTGATTGGTGCATGGAAGTATGTGAGCATTTTTGTGAACCCCACCCACTTCCACCCTGTGAGAAAAACAAAGACATCCAGAGATCTCTCGTGTAAAATAACCTAAATGTTCCAACTGTGGCAGACAGCAGTGTGTTGTTGTAGGACCCCATCACTCGTAGCAAGAAGCTAAATATATTTTCATGACCTTTTAAGTAGTTTACAATGTGTACAGTTTACTGTCTTTGTCTCGAGCAGTGGTTCTCATGCCCCCCCCCCATTCTACAATGTTTATCTGTCGTTAACAATGATAGGGTAAGCAACTAATAAAAGAGGACCCAATTTGAATTTCAGAGAAATAAAGGTCAGCACACTAACATCAGCAAACTCTAGTTTGTTTATTTTCCCTAGATAAATCACATTCAGTCAACTTCAAAAGCTTCCCTGTTCATTTAGGAGGATCTATTGTCAGTAATAGAATATTATTTTCATTGGTATGTTTTCATTCGTGTATAATCACCTAAAAATAAGAATAGTTGTGTTTTTGTTACCTTAGAATGGGACGTTTTATCTACAGAGGAAGCAGGTCCTCTTCTACGGAGTCTGTAATGTTGATCCGCCATGTTTCTACAGTAGCCTAGATAGGACAAACCACTGGCCTTTTTCTGATTCTCGCCTTTTTCTCAAGTTTCGTAACCACCATAGTTTATCCTACACACTTAGAAGACGAGTGGTATTCAGTTAGTTGCAATCTGTTACCCTGAACTTAAAAATAGTGGACTGGAGACTAACTGAAGTATTTTCATTTTATTTATTTAAATATTTGCTTATCATATAACTTGTACCATGATCCAGTTGTGTGTACATGTCATTTTATTTATTCCACTGTGATGTTCATGGCATGCTGACTGACTGTGAGGGTGTGGCTGGGGGTTAAATGTGGTTGCTCTAGGGTGCACTAGCCCTGTTTAAGCAGCATATCATGTTCCTGCAGCATCTCTGGTCCTCTGGTCATTGTCACCCTAAATATAACCTTAAAAGCTTTGACAGCTGCCCGTATTCATCTTGTCCATCCTCCTCCCAATCTCTTCCTTCAGAGGCCATGTCCAGCGCCGCCCTCTTCAACTGTCTCTATCTGGAGATCTCTGCATCGCTGGACCACCGTACTCCAGAGCTCCTAGAGTGCGCCGTGCGGCTAGCCAGGGGCGAGTCCCCCTGGCCCCCAGGAACCAGTGCGGAGGACATGAGTGGGGGAGGCCAACGGGAGAGCATCACCTCCCGTGCCAAACGTTTCCTGTCCAGCCTGGTGCCCCGGTACCCGCGAGAGCGAGAGGCGGGCAAGTTCATGAGGCAGAAGTCCCGCTCGTGCCACGACCTGGGGGCGCTGTGATGGTGCCGTCGCAGGGAGTTTAATGGTCAGATTGTTAACAGAGGTAGCTGGAAGTGATGTAGTATACCAACAGAGAGAAGAAGAGGGATACAGTACAAAGATGTGAGCAACAGAGGAGGTGTGAAGGTGCCAGAGTGACGGCAGGACAATGTTGTGAATGATCATCGTGTGCATCCAGCAGAGGAAAACAGGGAGAATGACTACAATGTTAGTGATGATGTTTATCCATAGGATGATATAGAAATTTTGTACACAAAACTAAAAACAGAAGAAGATAAAATACTGTTGTAGAACACATGTAAATAAACTGTCGTAGTGATACATAACTGCCACCCTCACAGCATTGAGAGTGAAATAAATTGCTTCTATTGAGGTTGAAGTTGCTGCATGTTTGCTTTGTTATTGAATGAGTTGTCACATGCAAAGAGGAAAACAGTAATCACGTTTAACAACTGTTCAAGCCCAGGATAAAGTCATGATCACACACATCCAAAACTCATTAGTGGGTTAGACTTTGCTGATGATTCATGTTGTGTTCATTTACTCTCAGCTATTGTGGTATCCATGGGGATGGTAAGCAGTAAAATAGTGAAATGCCAACAAGGAGAGAAAGGGAATTAAAGAGATAAAAACCAGACGTACAGAGCTCAGCGTGGCAATAAGAGAAGGAGCAGAGAAGGAAAGCCAGATTATTGTAAATAGAGTGATTGTTGCCATGTTACAGTTGTCAAGGAGACCCAGAATCACTGAGACCTATATGTCCATTTCAGCTCTGCAACTATACCTCTACTGTGTGTACTGCATATAGATGCAGAGATGGGAAGGCTGATTCCCATGCAGTAAACTGCATTTTTTTCAAACATAAAATTCAACTCCAAATTAAAATGCAGAGGATTTTGTCAGATATCAGCTTCTCGGCACTCATCTGTATCACTCGCTACCCTCAGCACTTCCATCCTCCCACTTCCACCCACACGTGAACAAAAAGATTTAGTACATCATAGGTCGTTATACCCATCATTTGTTATCAAAGGAAGAGCTGTGCTATAATAGAAGTAAAAAATAAAATGGTGGCATGATATTCTGACTCATTCCCTTGGCTGCAAACTACTGGAACAAATTGAAAGGTTAAGATTTTGGATCACTGACGTGGGACACAGGCTCCCTCTTGTGGATGAGTTGAGTCGCCACGACTGAGCAGAAGGAACATGAATATGGCTGAAATGGAAAATATAAGGGAAATATTTATGAAGCTCTCCTAGTTCATAAGTTAGCTGTCATTTTAACACAGCACCCAATTCAGTCAGAAGAAGTGCACCTGTCTCACACTTGATGAGGGAAAGATTGTGAGACAGAGTCATGCTGAAGTCCTTTGGATTGTCATAATAGAAATAGGAGTAGACAGAATTTGCATGCATACTAGCAGGGGCCAGGGGGTGTTTCAAGGGCTTAAACATCACTGGAAAGAGTTTCGATTGTCATCTGAATTTCTAAAAACTGCAGTTCAAGTATGCATGTAAAATTCATTGAAATAGGATGCTATGAAAAACATTTCAGCTATAAAAATGGGTGCATCCGCTCTGTATGCAATACACATACAATGTGCACCTGAGCCACTAGCAGTCTATTCATTTCAAACCTTGGCCAACATTTAGCTGAATTTTAACTTGTTCTGTGTTTCTTGGAGTGACTGACTGCAAAATGAACTCAACTAAACGTGTCAATAGAATACCATCAGCTCATATCCCATTCACAATGATAAAATCACAGGCTGACCCCTCACAAGAAAAAGGGCTATTTGACTTGGCCATTTGTCTACATCTGAAACTGTTCCCTTATATTGCTTTGCATTATTTCACGATGAACTACATTACGACCTATATTTTAAAGCCCTCCATATTTTACTTAAACTTTGAATTACTAAATTCATTTATTTGGATCATAAAACATTAAAAAATGTTAACGTTGGCTCAGTTCCACTAAAGGTCCAGTGTGTAGGATTCAGTGGAATCTAGTGGCAAAGTTGCAAATTGCAGCAATTTGAATACAACGAAAACAGTTATTTTCAGGTGATTATACGCCAATAAAAACATACCTACATATAGTATATTAGATAATAGATCAACCCTAAATGTTACACACTGGACATTTAAGTGTCCCAGTGAGCCATCTTGCACAATATCAGGACCCTTTGTTTTTAAATGTCCTCAATGACATCCGTGCTTTTCCTGTTACGACACGTCAAAATGTCTCCTGTGAAGAAGGTCTATAATGGGATTAAACAACCAGGCATTATTAATTAAGAAGCTTTTAATGGAATGATTTATATGTGTGACAAAGTACACTGTTAGTGGGTTCTTATGGTAAACAAAGACATAACATTGACAGACAGTAGAGCCCTAAAAGAGCACACAAGGCTCAAAAGGGAGCCACTTCAGAGGCTGCAGGCCTGTAACTTCTTGTCAGCCAGCTTCAGAGAGACCCATGTGTTGAGCATGGAGGCTCTCAGTTTGCACCACACCAGGTGATCGGTCAACCCGAAGATCTGCGCGGCAAATTGAGCGGCGGCATCAGGGGAGAGGACTGTGGAGCAACCAAGACCTGCGGGAGAGAGGGAGGAACCAAAGCAGGCTTAGTTACCATGATGAATAAACTCACATGTTACTAACAATTTAAAGACATAATACAGGCAGTGCTACGCTTACCGCTTGGCATACGGAGGGATGACCAGACATCTTGTGCACCCCAGTCTGGAGTGAGAGGTGGGCAGTTGATCACGGGATATGCCGTGTTTCCAGACATCACCGGACCGAGGCCGTTGCTTCTGCCGGCAACAGCCACAAACACAGTTGGTACACCGTCACCTGAGGGGAAGTACATACATATGACATGATACATCAATCCTATCTTCTTTAGAAAGGGAGGAGAGAAAATAATTCCTCCTATGTCAAATGAATACAAACCTTCATATTCTGCTTTGATGCGGAGTGTCTCATCTGGACCTTTGTGTGCCGAGGTGACTCTCAGGATGCACATAATCCCGTAGGAGGTACAGGCCTTCCTGATTTTTTCACAGTGAGCCATGTCCGAGGTGGAGCCCATCAAAACGACCACCCTGCCACTGGCTTGGGGCTCCAGAAGCAGCTAGAGCCAAAACACGGCACTCATTAGCTCCACACACGTCTGTATGTCCACTGAAAGCCAGACTATGCAACTTAAAGCCCATACAAGGAACTTCCATTTGTCTTGAATCTGGCGACCCCTGTGGACAAAAGCAGTAGTGTTTCTACCGCCTCATTTCATTGATTTCAAGGGGAATCCAAAAGGTGGGATCAAGAATAACTATATAGTACCCAATTTTATTGCTGATGTCCTATGTAACCATTAGTATTAAATAGAGATGATTATAAACTACTTGCAGAGCATTTAAGCTGAGCAATATCAAGCTAGAGTTTGCTTAAACATCAGCCTCCATAAGCTACTGGTAATACCAGACCAAATAAGGCTTTAAAAAAAAGCCCAAGTGTACTGAATTGAGAGAGTATGTGAATTGCTCATGAATTCAACTCTTCATTTAAAAAAAATAAAAAGAATGTGTCATTCCTTCTTTCAAAATGAACAAAGTCACTTTAAGGAAAGTTTGAATGTAAAGACAAAAAAAAGAAATCCAGCATTTATAAGGAGGGACAACTAACCACTTTTAAAACACAAATCTTGAATTAGAGTTTAAGAATTAAGATCAACAAAAATGATTGAACTAGAGGGCAACAAAGCTCAGATAGCTAGTTTATAATGAACTATGCGTGTCTGTTATAACACATTGATTAAAAAGCAAACAAACAGCTGAAGCCTGTCCTGACACAGCGTAGATAGATAATGGGTTCAGTGTACCTTGACTCTCTCAGAGACCCACTCAAAGTTCCTTTTCACCATCTGCATTGCCTCTGGGGTGACTTCTTTAAGGTCTCGGTACACCTAATAACAGAAGGGAAACAGGTTATTTCACCTTTAATCTGAATTAAAAAGCTTCAAAATTAAATAACAAGACGAAGAGAAGTCCTGACCTGCTTATCTTTCTGCTGGCTTCGATCTCCTGCTGGCCACAGCCTCCATGAATCGTTGTCGATCACATCAGCAAGGACGATCTCTTGAGTCTTCACATTCACACCAAACTCAATCTAGAAGCAGGGAGGATGAATTGTGAAGCAGCTACAAGAGTTTGGTAGGAAAGACTAGGATACTAGTTTAACCAGCAGAGGGCAGCGCTGCACTTTATACCTTCATATCCACCAGCGTGCAGTTCTGAGTGGCCCAGGCCTTCTCCAGAATCTCAAAGATGGCCACAGTGCTGCGATTCATGATGTCCACCTCACACTGGCTGATGGTGAGCCCAGCCAGACAGAATTTGGACTCCAGCAGCTGCTCCTCGGACCACTGGGGATCATTGTTGGCATCATCCTAAACCAAAAAGAAACAGATTACATAAAGATGGATGCAATTTGACATTTTGGCCAAGTCAAGTTACTGGAAACTGAACAGCTGAGGGGAGGTTTCAGACTCACTTTAAAGAACATCTCCATCTTCAGTGGGGTGAAGCGGTAGCCTTCCTTGACTCCTGGGTTCCTCTTGAGGAATGATCCAGTTGCCACTCTGCGACATACCCACTCAATGGGGATCATCTCACAATGGGTGGCGATGAATGCTGTGTCTGAGTGCTGCTTCACAAAGGCAGTCTTAATGCCTGGAAGAAAAGAAATATTAAAATAAGCCCCCCTTAGGCCCAAAACCTCTTCATTTAGTCCAGAGTAACATCTCACACTCATCATTTTATCATTCAGTGTTCATTTGGATTCCAGATAAAAGTTGAAAAACACCTCTAATTTAAAGATTTGAAGGTTAAGTTAGGGGGATGTGGCTGGTCACGTTCTGGTTAATTACACCCGTCAAACTTTTAAGTCACAAGACAGCCATTACTGTGGCTTGGCTGACACACACACCACACTCATGAGTGGCATGTGGGTTACAGTTACCCAATTACTTTTAAATTAAAGCAAGGTTGAGAGTCATTTTGGAATCTGGGCTCTCTTTAATAGACCTAAATGTCAAACATGCATGCACCATGACCATACACATGTCAACTATTGGACCAGTTCGGGACATGCATGAGTGGAGTAGTTATTGAATTGTCATGAAGGGAAGAGGTGGGGACATCATGTGTTCCAAAAAGAGCTGAAAAAAAATCTTTATAAAATAAACAATTAAAAAAATATTATATTAAACTAAATATGTGTTTGGGTTTTTGACTGTCAGACAAAACAAGCTATCTGAATATGTCAACTACAGCTTTAAAGAATCATGAATTACATGTTTTACTATCAATCAATAATGTAAATAACAGTAACTATGGCTACTGGAGGGTTTTTAAAATGGTGAAACTGGTGGATTTTTGTTTCCCAACAGCTCACGCAGCTGGTAAATAGGCCAAAGGTTGTCTTTCTGTCTGCATACAGTCACCTCACTGACCTCTTATCTCACTAGGGTCCAACTGGGAGCCCACAAGAAGATCTAGTGGCATTCATTCATTCATTCATTCATTCATTATGCGTGTGAGGAAGTCCTTATAAAACAACTTCTAAAATAATTACACCCTTCTGGCTTTACACCTCTCAGCAGCAATGTTACTCAACATGTGGGACAGAGGCCTCAGGGGGAGTGTGACACACTCTGGCAGAGAAGTTATTACAGTCGGTTGATCCATTCAAAAGATCCTCACCAGATTCCTGGAGGAGCTTGAACACGCAGCTCGTCGTTTTATTGGCAATGGCAGCCTTTCCCTCCATCTGGTCTTTCCTCACGGCATTCCCAGCGGTGATCTGGTCTTTGGACTGGACCAGAACCAGTCCGGGCTGGTCCACAAGCTCAAAAATCTGCTTCGTCTTTCCCTCATTTAGCTTCTGGCCGATCTTCAACTCTAATTAGTAAAAGAAACACGTACGCACAAAAGAATAAACGCTCCACATTAAACGCTGTGTATTTAGTGTATGCTCACACAACACGCACTGATGGTTGTACTGTACCTGGTGCGGAGGCCATCTTGGTGCTGTTGGTGTTTATCAGCCTGCAGTCCTGGAAAACAAAACACAAAATGGGCCGAACTGTCAACTTTGCAAAGTTTCAAGATGAAGAGGCAGGAGGCGTGCAGGCAGCAGAAGAGGGAAGCGGAGTCTCTCTTACGTGCTCTGATAACCAATCACAGCCCTCAGCTCATTCAGACAACCAATCACAGCCCCGCATTCGTCGCCACGTGGGAGGAAGATGTTCCAGCACTAAATATTTGCAAGGCGAAGAACTTTTTGGAGTTTATCCATTAAACAAGCCCCATTTTCTCTCTAACAAGAAGATTGATTTATCAAAATTTCATCAAGAAGAAACAATGGGCAGCTTGACCGAATCGATGAGTCTGATATAGAGTATTTGTTGTCCTCCTTATCGCAAAATACCACGTGTGTCTCGCAAATTGAAGGTGTTTGATAAACGTATGTGATAACAATGATGGTGGCCAGTTCCTGTCGTTAAAGCTGCACTCTGTAAACTGTTTGTTTTAGAGTCATAAAGTTTCCTCTGTCGTGAATTCACGGCCGCTTCGACAATGTCAGCAGAGTTTACGTTGTTTTAACGAGCCACGTTGTGTCGTTTGGTCAACTCTTACGGCACGTGTTCGGTCACTGCTATCAGAGCGCGTTCAGGCACGCACGCGCTGATTGCTGCCTGGAGGCGAGCAGGCACGAGACCGTCCGTCGGGTGAACGGAGGACTGACAGCGGCGGGATGGAGTTTGAGGAGTCCGGTATCGGGGAGGAGTGCGGGGTTTTCGGGTGTGTGGCCTCCGGAGAGTGGCCCACACAGCTGGAGGTGGCTCAGGTCCTAACTCTGGGACTCGTGGCGTTACAGCACAGGTAAGTAACGGAAAGGTCACGTGGGTGTTTTGGTCAAAACAACGGACAAACATTAGAAGTCACTTTATAAGTCATTAATGTGCAGGACCAGGTGTGGACCTAAAAAGTATGGCTGACATAGCTTCAAAGTTGAAGACAAAGTTTTGTGTTGCTGTTTAATTTAATGTAACAGAAGTTGTGTTTCTAGAAAACGTGACTTTAAAAGTTATTCTACTGCTACAAAGTTGTAAATATGAGCAAGGAAAACTAAACTAATATCGAAAATCAGTAGTGCTTTACAGTTCCCCCAAATTAAGTGTGATACATGTCACCATAAAGTCAATATTTAGTAACAGATTCACTGAAATATTACAAGATGTAGAGGTGAAAATAACAGTTATTTTGATTAATCTGATGGTCATTGAATTAATCAGAAAACAGGGAATATGCCTCTTATTTCCCACAGCTCAATGAGTTCTATTCAGATTGCTTGTTTAATGCGATCAGTGGTCATAATAAAAGTATTTCTTACATTTGAGGTATTTGGCATGTTTTCTTATAAATGACAAACTATTAGTTAGAAAAGTATCTGTCAATGAATTGATTAGTCTTTACAGCTCTTAAAGATTAATTAAATAATTTCTAGAGTTTACCTTTGGTTGCGTAACCCTTTGTACTCTTTATCACATGGGATTAGTAGATATTACCTCTCTTTCTGGGGCTGCGGAGGCCATTGAACAGACTGAATTGATCTTTATTATCGGGATGTGATCCTGCTCCTCTTTGCAGCGGGCCTTATTTGCAAAGTCAGAGCCAGTGCCCAGTTTTTTTGCTGGTGTCTGGAGCGTTGGCTCTGAAAGTGAAAAGGGAACAAAAGGCAGTTATTTGTAAAAAGTACTTCTAATGAACCATTTCAGATCTTCATGGACAAGCAATGTTTCTTTTTCACTTGGCCTGGCAGTGGATTTCGTCATGAGATGTACCTTTTGTCAGCAGTTACAACTGTACCCTTATCCATAATTTCATTACTCCACAGCAAATCATGGGACCGAGTCCGAAATGACAAAGGCTTCAGTCAATTCATGTGACATACAAAATGATTACTGAGGGAGGCACATTTCAAACCTTGATCCACAGCTTTCCTCTTCTTTCCTCTGTTTGCTAAATATGTATCCTCTTTTTCTGTTTCGGTAGAACCTGCAAGCAAAATGCAACATAAAACAGTCACAAGACGACCGGCCATTCTTTAACAGAAGAACAAAAACGTTTGCATATATTTAAATTAAGTTGGGCTGACAGACTTTAACTCAGTGTTTCTACACCATTACTTCACTGAATGGGAATGTATTTTGTTTTTCAGTGTTTTTATTCTAGCTTTAGGAAAAGGTTGTTTATTTCCCATTTATTTCAAGGGTTATCTAACATTAAGATTTAAAGGTTCAGTTTTTCAACCATTAAAATCACATTTCCTCATTTATCTCGAGAGGTATCTGGTCATGCAGATATTTTTCATGAATGGATTTTGGTAATTGACAGTAGAAATGATAGTAGCTAGACTAATTAGAATAAATAATTATACTGGGCTCACTCTTTAATCTGTGCTGTTGATCAAAGCGAAGCTCCTGGACTGTATGCGGCCTTGGGTCTTCATTGTTTTGTGCAACATCAAGGCTTATAGACGAGACAGAACCAGAACTAGAAGATCTTTCCTCCATTGCCGCGGCCTTTGCAGTCACTGTGTTCATCTTTGTCAAATAGACATCTACGTGATCCTCACAGTCCTCCAACATCGTGAGTCTGCCTGGGTCTTGGTTGTCTGCAGCTCCCGTGTCATGCGGTGAGCCATTAGTTGTGCGATTCATAATGGCGTCCACCTCATCGTAGAACCTCATAAGGCGTCTTGGGTCAGCTTCATCAGTCTTCCCTCTTTGGAGGGAGCGGTAAAGGTACTTGAGGTTTTTGTACTTGGTGTGGCACTGCTTCCAGTCGCGTTCAATGCCCTGCTGCATTAACCTGTTGGAGATCTGGACGAAGATGTCTCTCTTTCTGGTCGAGCTCTCCAACTGCCTGCACACGTGCTGGTCGGACCAGACTTGTATCAGCGCTCGCACCTCCTGGTCGCTCCAGTTCCGACCTGTGTCCGACACCGTGACCACGTGGAACTGTTCAGAGCTGGATGGGTCTGCGACAGTTAGATGGGCATCTGGAGCAAATAAAACTAGATTAAGTAAAGAGAAGATTACATATACCGTAAACTGCACTGGTTGTTGGTGTGGCATACCTGTTCCTCTCCATTTTGTTTCCATGTCTCCATCCATGTCGTAATCGTCACTGTTGTCATCTGAAAATAAAAAAGTAATATAAAATGTGATTGTTCTTTTAGTCTCGAATACAAACTTACTATATTCACTGGAGGCCGAATACATACCATCATCTATTTCAATGACAACCTCACTTTCCGAGGCTATTGTCTGTGCTGGTGTTTGTTGCCTCCCTGCTCCCAGTTCTCCATCATACAACTTTTTCTGCATCTCCATGGTCCCGTTTTCCAGTCCCCGGTCCAGCAGAATGGCTTCCACCTCGTCGAAGAACTTCATGTACTTCCCTGGGCCTCCTGCGCTGCTGCCCCCAGCAGCATGAGCGCTTTTAGCAGTCTTGTAGTCGTATTTCAGGTTCTTGTATTTCGTTCGACATTGTTTCCAGTTGCGTACCACCCCAAAGTTTCTTTGCATCAGGCGGGCCATCTCTTGGAAGATGGATTTGTTGCGTAGCGTGCACTTCAGGCGCTCTCGAATATGTCGGTCAGCCCAGACGCACAACAGCGCTCTGACCTCATCGTCTGTCCAATGGCGGCCCCCTTCTTCAGCCACGCTCGGGGTGTAAGGAAGAGCCCGTTGGATTCGAGTCCTGGTACCTGTACACACATGCACACACTGTGTTGTCTTTGGCTCAGTTTAAATTTAAATGAAAAGATGGAGCTTGTATCAAAATGTTTTAATTTGATCTCGCTTGGAATATATAACTGGAATAACTTTTCTACTTAAGTTTGACGCTATATTAGTTCGACTGACATGCCTGTTTATCTTCTGATCCATTAAATATTAAAATGTGTTGAGCGTTTCGCTACAGTTGGGGTTGAACCTAGATTTACCTTCCTGTATTGGGATAGTGACTGAGGAAGGGTAGATTCCTCTTTGATTATCCACATCTTCCACTTCTTCCTCCCAGCCCTCCTCTGGCCTGCCATCCACTCCTGGGCTGTAGTTTGCTGCTGTTGCATCAGGCTTCCTGCTCTGAAGTCCCAGGCTCCTGCACTTGGCCTGACACTCCCACCAGCTGCGCACAACACTGAGCCTCCTCAGACGCTCTGAGATCAACTCAAATGTAGTTCTGCTCTCTGATACGTGCTGAGCTCCCAGCTCGTCCCACACTGACATAAGAGCCATCACCTCTGCTTCCCCCCACTGCCTCTCCACCGAGCCTTTGTCCTCTACCACCTCGCTATCACCTCCTCTTTGTCTCTCTGCTCCTCTCTCCATGTTTGAGCTGACCTGGAAACGCTTTCTTTTCCCCAATCCGTCTGCCTCTGCTGCCCGGTTCCCTTGGCAACCAGGCGGTTAAGCCTGAAAGCAACGCCTCCATGCAGAAAAGCAGCCTCACCACTGGCTTAAGCTGTGTGCTGAGGGGGCGGGACGAAGTGTAATCCGAGAAGCAGCTTGGTAAATAGGCTGAAACTGCAGCAAGACGACTCTCCATATATGGCAGCTCCACACTAGAGAAACACACATTTCTGGGTTTTTATTTCCGCCTTCTTTCCTGCTTTGTTTTTCCAATGCAAACCAGTTTGGTTTGCCTTAAGGCTCATATCAAGCATTTAGCCCTGAATAAGTTTGTCATGTTTAGTCTTGCAGAAAAGAGACAGAGAGATTGTTCCTTTTATAAAACTCCCTTCTGACTGATATATTTACAGCGTTGCAATTTACATGTGATTGTCTGTGTCTACTCAGGGGTCAGGAAAGTGCCGGGATTGTCACATGTAATGGAGCCAGTCCACCCACATACACAACCCACAAGGTAACACTGATCACGACTAGCCCCTTGTATAATTAGACTGAAGACATCAGACATTATACAAGAAATATTTCAGCTGCTTTTCATTCAATGTGCACTATAAATAAATGTTTTTCATTTACATTCACACACAGTTTGACACAGTTAAATGGAATTTGTTCTAAAGCTTTATCCCACTCAGATTGTGGACTGTTTTTCCACTCTACAACACCAAGGCCACATATTACTATTTACTTTCTTCTTATTTGTCACTGAGAACATCTCTCACCGATTCCTCTTGCCTTTTTTTTTTTCAGGGAATGGGATTAGTGAGCACTGCTTTCCCACCCGAGGCTCTTCAGAAGCTGCGCTATGGAAACCTTGGTATTTGTCACACACGCTATTCAACTACTGGGATCTCAGAGCTGCAGAACTGCCAGCCCTTTGTTGTGGATACACTGCATGGCAAGATTGCTGTGGCACACAATGGAGAGCTGGTTAATGCTCATGCTCTGCGGAAAAAGGTGAGAATGCCCCCCCGCCTCCCAAGTTGTTCTCGCTGAACCTGGTGCATATCAATGGCTCTTACTGGGTACTGGTACTTGGTTGCTGGGTCTGTTGGATCTTAATCCTAATTAAAGGACAAACTAGGCCTCTATATACAGTATGCCTTACATCTGTATAATCAGTCAGTGTAATGCTTGTGTGTGTAATCATTTTCTTCTCTGAGACACAAACACATGCAAGCTAATGGATATTAACCTGCATAAAATAACACTTCTGTATATATTTCTGTATATATGCTGAGTCATTCATTGTAAATATGCCGTGCAGGTAATGCGCCATGGTGTAGGCCTCTCCACCAGCTCAGACAGCGAGCTCATCACCCAGCTGCTGGCGCTGACTCCACCTATGGAGGAGCTGGATGCACCAGACTGGGTTGCCAGGTCAGTGTTATGACTAAGCTGCAGAAATCTTTTTTCACTGCACTATTTAAATACCATTTTTTTGGTATTGTAGAATTAAAAACCTGATGACTGAGACCCCTACGTCGTACTCGCTGTTGGTGATGTTCAAAGATGTTATCTATGCGGTGCGTGACCCTTATGGAAATCGACCCCTCTGCATTGGACGAATTGTTCCCATCTCTAAACTGCACAGTTCAGGTATTTTTAACATGTTTGTCCTTAAAAGTTAAAAACTTCTTCTGCTGATAAAGACGAGGCCTCACGAGAGCTTATCAGCGCTCAAGCCAGGCCAGCCTTTGGTTTGGTCAGAGGTCAGATGTGTATGCTGGTGGATGATTAACGTCATTCTTTGTCCCTTTGGTCAGGTGCTGGAGAGGAGGACACTGAGGGGTGGGTTGTGTCATCAGAGTCCTGTAGCTTCCAGTCCATCGGTGCCAGGTCAGTTTTTGCCATCAGTGTAATGTTTCCTGCATATTAATGGATATAATTGGTTAATGACCATTTTCATGTCCTTCCTGATTCTCAGGTATTACAGAGAGGTCTTACCAGGAGAGATAGTCCAGATATCCAAGCACGGCATCAAGTCTCTGAGTGTTGTCCCTCGGCCTGAGGGAGACCTCCCTGCCTTCTGCATATTTGAATATGTTTACTTTGCCAGACCAGACTCTATTTTTGAAGGTTTGAACACTTATGTATACCTCTCACTGTCTATAACTGTTGGGCTTTCTTGTAGAATAGCTTGTCTAAGTGAAATGTTCAGTATCTTATACCACTGTACTGCAGGGCAGATGGTCTATACTGTAAGGCAGCGCTGTGGGCGGCAGTTAGCCATAGAGGCTCCAACAGACGCAGACGTGGTCAGCACTGTGCCAGAGTCTGCAACTCCTGCTGCACTGGGATATGCTCAGCAGGTCGGTCTGCAAGCTGTCTGCACTGTAAACCAATGCTGTAATACACTCACCACCCAATGGACCTTTGTCCTCACAAGCTTTCTTCTTCTCCTTCCCTTCTCACAGTCTGGGCTGCCATATATTGAGGTTCTGTGTAAGAACCGCTATGTTGGGAGAACGTTTATCCAACCGAATACCCGCTTGAGGCAGCTGGGAGTTGCCAAGAAGTTTGGGGCTTTGACAGACAACTTTGCTGGGAAAAGAGTGGTGCTAGTTGATGACTCTATTGTCAGAGGCAACACCATCTCCCCCATTATAAAACTACTGAAGGAAGCTGGTGCAACTGAGGTGGGTTGGCTCAGGATGTTACATACTCCTATATACGCTTGTGTGTATATAATGAAATAATACAATGCTTTAATAATGGTCCCTAACCTGGGGAAAGAAAGAAAGAAAGGTTTGAGGATAATTTTGAGGGGAGATAATAAAAAGCAAAAGATCAGCACTAAACAAAATTACATTTATGTATTACATTTCTGTAATCTTGCTTTTGTCTTGTGAATAACTGGATAATTTGATGTCTTTAGGGCTCCTAAAAGTGATTCAAAATAAATCTTCCTGCAGCGTTTTATAGTAGATGCACACCACCTCGCCTGTAATTAACTCCACTGAAGTCAGAAGAAATTATTACACTTTTCTGAAATATAAGGATTAATACCCATCAGTGAATAGGAGCAATGCTGTGAGCCAACTGTTCAAACCAGATCAGGCTGATTTAGCTCAGCAGGCGATTGATTGATCATATTAAATAAGAGCAGCACATTGCGGAGGGGGGGGATACAAACCCCTTGAAATGTGAACATTACAGGAAAAATAAACACAAACGGCCCAATCTAGTTTCAATACAAAGACAAGAAAATCTAGGTTATTAATGTTTTCCTGTGCTGTAAAACATATCTGTATTTAAAGTCTGATCAGTGGAGACAGTGGTTCCCAACCTTTTTCCTTTAAAGGACCCCTTTCTATTGTTTAATAAACCCCTGACTAAGTGGCATATTTTATGGAGAGTTCATATTATATTCAAAACTGTAACATGGACCAAAACAGTGAAAACAATGACTGCAAGAAGTTTATGTAAAACAAGTGATTTGGATGAATTTTGAGCAGATTATTAGTATATATTAGTATGCTGTTTGTTCTCATTGTTGTCCTGTATTATTAACATTACGTGGTGAAGCCAAAGGCTATTTTCCACAATGTGGACAATAAAGTTCTTAACTAACAAACTTGGTATTTTCTCCTTGACAGGTCCACATCAGGGTTGCCTCTCCACCGATCAAGTTCCCTTGCTACATGGGCATCAATATTCCAACCAAGGAGGAGCTTATCGCCAACAGGCCAGAGTTCCAGGACATTGCTGGATACATCGGTGAGTACTAATACAGTGGTACATCTCACTGACAGTGTTCATTAAGTGTGCCATCTTCTCACTTAATCTTCACTACCTTATTGTGGCTTCATAGTGAGTTTAGTGCATCTCAGTTAACACTTGAACTGTCATACAGGTGCTGACAGTGTCCAGTATCTGACTGTGGAGGGCCTGGTATCAGCTATCCAGGAGGGAATCTCCTCCCTCCAGAAGGACGAAATGATCAGCTCCAACAAGTCCAGCAAGAGAGTGGGCCACTGCACTGCCTGCCTGACTGGGAAGTATCCAGTGGAGCTCGAGTGGTGACTGGTGAACCAACGCCATGACCAACAGTAGTTACAGCAGCAGCAGTGTGGATTTACTGCAAGCTCCCACAAGCTGATACATATGAATAAAGTGTTCTCTGTAGACTGGAAAAGAACTGTTGGGCATCAACGCTGATATCTGGGACATTGAGATGTATTAAATACACAAACAGCATGCGCTTTCTCTACAGAGGGTTGTTTTTCCTGCTCAGATTTCTCACTTAACTTGAATATGTTGCTTTTGATGACCTCCAGTGGTTGCAGTCTTATCTTGCTGCAGTGACGTAAAAGTCTGTTTTTACCACATCCTGATATCACTAGTGACTACAGCTGCACGTCTCACCACACAACACTAATGCTTTTGGTTTTTTGAAGGTTACCATGTAAATGTATTGAGAAAAGCTCCAAAACTAGTTTTGTTTTCACATTCCCAGCCTTAACAAAACAGGAGCATTAGAGTTTACCATGTCAGGAAAGCGCACAGGGCTAGTGACCAAAAAGCAAATTTGTCTTTATTTTCCTTATAAATGTTATTTCCTACCTAACTAAAATTAATCATTCTACTTTTTTTTGTTTGAGTGTCAGATACTTTGTCTCCTCAACTTTAAATGTTACATGAATATATGGAAAAATGTAATAAACGAAGTGACTGCAATGACAAGTGATTTCTTTTCCTCCAGAAAGTTAATTTCACACAGACACAATTTTATTTTAATAATATACAAATATTACAAGAAACAAACATGAAGCTGTATTCACTGAAGTAATGATTCACCATAGCACAAAAAGTAAAAGATTTAGCAAGAGAACTACATACATGAGTGTAAACTATAATCAATCAAAGGGATGGTTTTAACAGTACTTGTAAAAAATAAAATCTCCAAGCAGGAACTAGAATGGAAAGCAAATGGACGAACAACAACCACTTACAGCTTTAACATGTCAACAATTGCAGTTGAGTAATACAGTTTCCTGAGCTCACACTTTACCAGCTGAAAGAAAGAAATGCCCTCATGCTGCTACACTTTCACATTGATATTTGTTACATGACAGTAATGTACAATGATACTTGTTAGAGAACTTCTGTGGATGGGCTGGTGTAATCCTTGTTCAACACCACTTTCTGTCAGGAAGAAGAGAGGGTGAGAACGAGAACAGCTGGGAGGCCAGAAAACAAAACCTGCACATACTTCATAATTCATTATAATTACCTGGGGGAGAAGCCGTCGGTCATTTTTCTCTCAAATGAACCTCCTGTTGGATGAAACAAAAAGAATAAAAGAATCAGTGATAAAAGACTTACACAAAATGCTTAATTTAACAGCAGGACTTCATAGAAGAGGCTCACCCAGGCCGGAAAACTCAGTTGCAGATAGACGGCGGCCCTGACTCATCCAGGTTTCCTGATGCGCATCTGTAGAGCGCTGCTCGGTGCTGAATCTTTGAAGCATGCTGTATTTACTGGGGCTGTAGGAGAGGCCACCATGAGACTGCTCATATTCAGACTGACAGAGACGTCGCCTCAGCATCTCGTTCCCATGGCTAATGGAGCCTGGGCGGGATGTGCAGTACTCGTCCCTGGAGCGTTTGGACTGGGGGTGGCTGTCCCAGCCTAGCTCCCTATGGCGCTTCCTCAGGAGGGAGCGGTGAGGCGATAAGGCGAGGGCGGCCAGAGCTGTGGAAGAGTGGCCTCTGCTGGCCTCGGAGCTTCTAGCACAGTAACGGCAGGGAGCCCCATTAAAGAACGATGATTTGTTCTGGCAGACGAACTTGTGGTAGAGTTTTATGAAGTCCTCATCAAGCTTCTTTGGCGAGTAGGAGACATGGAATGACGGCAGGGAAGAGTCGAAGGAAAGGTGCCGGCGCAGCCTGTGACGACCCTCTGCTGCTGTGGCCGACTGAGGTGAATGCGGCTGTGACTGGAAGGAATGATGGAAGTCATGAGGGTCAAGCATCCTCAGTGGCACAGTTGGCCTTTGGGGAGGGGAGGAAAGGGAAGTGGACATTGATCTGGGCCTCCTAAACTCTCTGGAGAGGTTTTCTACAGAATGTGCTTTGGGGCTTCTGGAAAAGACATGAGGTGACCTACAGAGGCCGCTAATCATCCTTGCTTTTAAAGGACTCTGCCTGACTGGTGAGCCGTTGACGTCTGGTCTCTCTTTGGACCCATCAGTCTGCGGTGAGTGTGCGGCGAGAGAGAGTCTTTTACACCTGAGAGACACATCCAGAGGTGCTTTTGCAGTGGGATAGAAAGGCCGTGAAGGACTGACAGTGTAAGTGGAGGGCTGTTCTCCCAGCTGGGACACATTGAAGGTCTCATTCAAAGAGATCTCTTTTGGTTTAGTGGTCTCAGAGCAACCAGAGAGGTCCATGGCGAGGACAGGCTGGTGCTGCTCTCTCCTCAGCGAGCCTCTCCCCCTCCCAGGAGACTGCTGCTGTGCTTGCCAATCCTGCGGATTCATGGTCACCATCTGCAAAGGAGACCGGGGGGTTGCTTCAGTCCTCATGAACTGCATTTTCACAGGACTGTTAGAAGTCTCCCTGAGCAGCGTCTCGCTCAACATCTTTTTTGGATTGCCGTGTCTCAACGTGACAGTGAAGGTGTTGTTGAGATAGCTTCTATTTGGGTGCTGTCGCCATCGACGGTACCTCCTCAGCACAGAGTCAGCAGCCTCCGAGACATGCTGCCGGTGCCAGGCCCTCTCTATTCGACTGATCATGCTGGGGTAGAGCTCCACCCAAGAGCCGCTGCGACTACCCAGCGACATTTCCAGTTCCTCATCTTGGTCTTCGGGCTGGAGCTCCGTCGCAGAAAGGTTTCTCTGGCTTTCATCCAGTGAGCTCACAGTCAGTTGAGTTGTGTCACTTGTAGCCAACCCTGTAGGGCGCAAAAGGGGGAAAAAAAACGTCACCTGAAATTAGACAATTTTTTATTTCAGTTCCTGCAATAGCTTGTCCAGCCATGTTGTGTTGTGTTGTTGCCTATTGCTTTCTTGTTCTTACCACCATCATCATCATCATCATCATCATCATCATGCATGGAGATGTGGGAAGAGGAAATACTAGAAACACACGTCTCATCAGCTCCACCATCCTGAAGCATGAAATCCACAATAATTAATTTAAGATATACTACATATTCAACAAAGAACTGTTGAAATAAATATGGTATATTTACCTGATAGTGTCCTGTAATGTCCTGGGCTGCAGTGGAATAAAACATGAAAGTAATCAGATTAGGAACATTTGAAAAAATCTGTAGATTTGTACTCTTGTTGAAGGTTTTGGATACTTACATCTCAGTGACTCGTCTCTTAAATCTGTCAGGCTCTGAGGAGAGGACAAGTGTTTGATTATATACCTGTGCATATATTTCATATCTGAATTTACTGAGGAGGAACCCCACTATAATTTTGTGTCTACGAAATATATTAATTCATAGCGGCCCAAACCTTTGACTCCAGCTTGTTCAGCTCTGTTTTTGACAGTTTCATGTAGTTCTCAATTGCTTCATCATACAGGGAGTCAAGACAGAAAAGACACACAATGACACCAGACCACATGACAACCACTGAACTGCAGAGATGGAAACAAATCGCTGACTGGTTAGTTAGTGAATGCAAAAAAAAATACAACATACAGCTACAACTTATTATTTTTTAATATAGTAATTACTAATTTAGTCTAAAAGAATTCAGAAACTGGTGAAATTGCCCACAATGTCATTCTACGAAAACCTATTTTTATGTCAACTGCAGGGATATAAACTCAGAAAAACATTCAAACCTGACTCATGTTATGATAATCGATTAATCAAATTGTTTCAGCACTAAAAAAAGACAACACATTACTTTTTCACATTGCTCATTGCACTGTACTGTACACTGTACTGTCACATCTGTTAACGTTGTTCTCATTACTGTCTCTTGTACTGAACCTTTAACACAAACAATGTTATAACAGCCCTGTAGTTAACTTACTTCGGGTATTTGTGTTGTCGAGGTCCACCTCTATCGCCCCGTCTTGGTACTGAAGCTTTGAATACTGTTGAAAACAAATGGCAGAAAGTTGGTTAGTCACATCTTCATAGTTTATCTTTAAAGTTAGTTTAAGCTGACGTTTGCTACTTTACTTTCATGCTAACGGTAACGGGACCCGATAGCCTCATTAACACACCTTTTCTATTATTCGATCCAGCGACATTTTGTAGATGAGACTATTGTCTCGCATTTGCTTGTCAAAATTCAGGTCCATAGTGCACATTAAATCGGTTTTCTCGATAGTTGATAGTTGAAAGTAGCAGGATAACTGGTCTCAAACAAACGGCGCTGTGAGGTTCAAAATCCTTCTCGCCATAAAATAGAGACACGTGATTGGACAGGGTGTACGTGGTGCTTTCACGGCGCCAAGGAAATCGTGTTTCTCAGATATCGCACTTGAATATTTCAATTGAAAGTCAGAACTTAGCCTATTTATAAAACACCAAGGTTTTAACTTTTCATGGCAGAGCTACAAATTTGTATCAGTAATATTGTGGAGATCAACATGGTGATATGCAAAAACATTCAGTTGACAGCATTAAGTTGACAGATAAAACATTGAACACACGCCGGAAACATCACACGTCTTCCCGTCGATCTGTTTCGATAAGTTACTAAACAAAATAGCCCCCAAAAGCCAATGTTTTCGGTTTGTATATTGTTGTTATGACTATCAACGAGAGTGACCGAGCATTACAGAAGCAGTTGAAATGGCCATTAGTGGGGCGTAATTGTGTTTCTGCAACGTCATTTCCATGCGACAAATAGTATGTCCAACGTGAGTCTCCGTGTTGCTTTCGGATGTAAACAAAACCTCCTCCGTCTGATTTGAGCAGTATAAAATTTAAAAATATGAATTGTTATTTTTTGTCCGGCATCAGCACCCGCAGTGGATGAGCGGCTGGTCCGTGAACGGCTCATCGGTATGTCTGCGCGGACACTGCAGCAGCTGGTGGCCTCCGCAGCCTCTCTGCACCCCCACAGACCCGCTGTGACTTACGACGGCGGGGCGGTGTCAGGGAGCCCGGGGTCCCTGCTGTACAGAGAACTGGTTGAACTGGCAGATGAACTGGCTCGTACTCTGCGACAGAGCTGCTCTGCTAACAACGGCGTGATTGGACTGTATTGTTCTGATGATTTGTTCCTCCCTGTCTGGATTCTGGGGTGAGTTTACTGTTGTCACTGAACTTTGTACACGCGAGTGAGGTCCAAACAAGCGTGGATTCCCGTGCCATATCAAATGAGTAATGTCTTTGGTGAGTGGGAGCTGTGTAATATGAATGTGTTGTGTGCCAGGATCCTGCAGTCACCTGCTGCTTATGTCCCCCTGGACCCAGAAGCTCCAGGACTCCTCTCTGCCAGGGTCATGAACCAGTGCGGCCTCCAGTACTGTGCTGTGAAGACTGACATGCTGCAGGTTGAATATTTACTATTATATACATTTAATGCTCAGGTTCAAGTTCAAATTTAAAAACACAGCTAAATGAAATGATTCTCTTAGGATCTGAGTGTGAAACCCAGCAAAACATCAGACAAAATGAAGGCCGGGTTTACCTGTTAGAGTAGTGGACAAAACACATCTTTTAAGCCCATATGGGCATCGAACATGAACCACCTCATGCTCTGTGTGCATTGTGTAGACCCTGTTGCTTCCAAGTTCCCATTATGTGCAGAGCACTCAGCAGACTGAACGGCTTTATTACAGGGCACAGACCCAGAACCCAACCACTTCTCTGCCGGAGTATATGTTTGGGGTTATATGACTAAACACAACTTCATTTAGGAATATGAACAATGTGAGTGCAATATAAACTAAAAATAAGAAGACAGGGCCACAAAATAAGTTCACAATACAAGGCTCACTATAGAAGTACTAGTTAGTGTACTTTAATGGTGCAGGTTCCCTCACAAAAATGAAATGAATCAATTTACTTAAACCCAGAGTTTTTGGCAGAGAGAATATTTTTTCTGCAGTGTGTACTTTATTTATCCTTTTTTGTATTTATGTATCCACTAAAGCAATTCTTCTGTCTTTGTATGAATATTTACATTAATTTTCTTTCCTCATCAAGCGATTCCAGGCAGCTCTCGTCAAACACACGTCTGTGGCAGTCTGTGTGGAGCTTCCCAAGTTCAAACTAACCCTGACAGAAATCAAGCTGCTGCCGGTCGCTGAGCACAAACGAGCACCAGAACAAACCGGAGCTCAGACAGCAGATGGTGCTGGTCTCTGTGATACAGCTGCAGGGTTAAAGGAGGCTGGACACACCGACTTGGCATATGTTCTACACACATCTGGCACAACTGGCCTTCCAAAGATTGTGAGGGTGCCACACAAGTGTATACTCCCCAATATACTGCATCTGAGGTGAGCGTTTGTACCTTTTTTTTTTTTTGTCTTAATTGGTCTCAAAATTGTTATTTTGGTACATATTCATAACAGCTGCACCTCTATTGGCTCAGATCTTTGTTTCAGATGAGTTCAGATGATGTGGTTTTCCTCGCCTCGCCCTTAACCTTTGACCCCTCTGTGGTGGATATTTTCCTGGCCTTGTCGTGCGGGGCTCAGCTCCTCATTATCCCCACTGTGATCAAGAAAATGCCCAGTCGACTGGCTCAACTGCTGTTCAAGGATCACAAGACAACTGTCCTGCAGGCACGTGTCAAGAAAGTGTTTCTCTTGGAAGACTTCTCGTACACTATTAGGTACTATTTTCTTGTTTTCTGCAGGTCACACCTACACTGCTCGTCCGCTTCGGGCACCGCATCCTCAAACAGGAAGTGCTGTCGTCAGACTCGTCACTGCGGGTGTTGGCTCTGGGCGGAGAGGCCTGCCCCTCGCCGGCTCTGCTGAGGAGCTGGAAGCACGAGGACAATAAAACCCACATCTACAATATCTACGGTATTACTGAGGTGTCCTGCTGGGCCTGCTTGTACAAAATACCAGAGTCTCTGCTGCAGTCCAGCGACCTGTGAGTGTACCCTGTTTATTAAATCTACATGTTAAACAAGCTGCAGTCCATACAGCTTTATTTACCATTAATGCTTTTCAGCGCGGTGTCCTTTGTGCCCCTTGGGACTCCTCTGATGGACACTGTGGTGGAAGTAAGAGACGAACATGACCGCATTGTTACAGAGGGTGAAGGACAGGTGTTCATAGGTGAGAAAGATCTCATTGACACACACATACTTGCAAATCACATGCATATTCTTCCACATAACTCCATATGATCCCTTCTGCAGGTGGAGAGGACAGAGTGTGTCTCCTGGATGATGAGGAGACTGTGATCTCCGGGACGATGAGAGCTACTGGAGACTGGGTGAATGTTAAAGACACACAGCTTTGCTACCTTGGACGGAGAGACCGGCTGATTAAACGCCACGGCAAACGGGTTAACTTGGACAGCTTGCAGCAAGTAAGATGTTTTTCATGTATATTATACCAAAATATAAAAATATGCCACATATAAATGTTAGATAGAACTGTAATTCATGTTTAGTTCACGTTTGAGAGAAGAAATTGAATAAATTCAACATAATTGTCACTTGACAAAGGCTGTAAAAAGGTATTGGTGGGGCTAATGTGGCATCAACTGTAGGTATCGCTGTTGTTTGGTGAAAACTTTATCTCTAAGGTTTTGATGCTAGTAGATGTTTCTCAGTCTAGAGAAGTTGTGCAATCCTTGAGTGAAGTCGAAGCAGTAATCATTTATTTTATCACCACTTGGGGGCAGCAAAACACACTGTAAACGCAACACTGATATATTATCACCTTACAAAGTTCTTGTGGCAAACACGTTAGCCAAAATTTGCCAATATACACAGCTAGCAGACATAAAACAAGATAAGCATTCATTTGGAGTTTGGACAAGTGTAAGTCTAACATTTACTCTACTTTTAGCTTTCTGTTTAACTTTCTGATAATCTGTCGTTTGGGTTGAGAAGAGTCTAGAGTCTACAGTCGGCTTATCAGAGACTCTCACTGAAAACAGCTGCCTGCTTCTGGAAACAACACTAATGAGAGCTGACAGTTTTCCGGGCGAAGAGAAGGCGAAGCATTAATATTGTATCTCTGCTCCCCCAGCTCATATTGAGTCTGCCTCAGGTGGAGGCCTGTGCCGTGGGTTTGCATGAAGGCATTCGACTGCTCGCCTTTGTCGTGGCATCCACATCTGGAGACCAGAAGGCAGCCTCTCCTCTCACATCTGTTCAGAAGCATGTGGAGCGAACGGCCTCGGCTGAGCACCGGGAAGACCTCCTCTCTTCTGGAAAGCAGCACCAGGGGGAGGCGGGCGGTGCAGATGGAGACCTGAGCAGACTCATCCGGAACCAGTTGTCTCTGCTGCTGCCGTCTTACAGCGTTCCTGACGCGCTGGTGCTGGTCCCGGCCTTATGCTTGACTCCTCATGGTGAGCATCAGACACACAGTCACCCCTGATGGGCGACTTATTCATTCACTGGTTCAGTTATTCTTATGTTTGTTTTATGGCAGGCAAAGTAGACATGCCGGCACTTATGAAAATATACCGGAGACAGAGACAGTGTTTAGAGTCACAGGGAGACGTCACCGCTCTAAAGCAAACTCTTCAGTCCTTGTGGCAGGTATGGGGCAGTGTTCCACGACTTTTCACAACTTGACTCATATTTAAATACTTCTCGTTTCATTTGTTGGCTGATTATGTTTTTACTCGACTACCTTTTGACAGGAAACTCTAGGTCTTCCCGAAGAAGCGATCATTGACGAGGAATCCAACTTCTTGTTGAGCGGAGGAGATTCTCTGAAGGCGCTACACCTCTGTGAAGACATCCTCACTGCCATGGCAGTGTCCTCACCGGAGCTTTTGGAGGTCATACTTGACGGGACCTTCTCTGACATACTGCGCCATGTTGCAAGAGTAACACTGACGCCACCGCTTCAAAACAGCCTGTCATCACTGCCTGAGGCCAGGACACGTCACGCTGATGCTCCCTCTGCAGTGCCAGCAAAGAGAGAACGTAAAGAGTCCACAGCAGCAGAGGAGAAATGGGCTGTTAAAGTTATTAGACGAGCAGGTGAGGTGATAAAACTGAAAACCAGAAATCCACAGATAGATAACTTCCAGGCTAATGCACTCGGAGAAAAGGACTCTAGTAAGAAACATAAAGATGATGGTCTGGTCCTCGGTCTGAGCTGGTCCTCAGACACAGGCAGATGTGTGGATGCCTCGCCGGTGCTTCTAGTGCAAGACAGAAGAGATCAGAGGTCAGAAGAGGGTAATAAATCAGTGTTCATCGGCTCCCACTCTCACAGGATCCAGGCTTTAGACCTGATCACCGGGAGCCTTCTGTGGGAGCGAGTCCTCGGGGACAGAATCGAGGCCTCGGCTGCAGTGTCTCACTGTGGGAGCCTCGTGGTTATAGGTCAGTATCAGCTCTCAGGATACGGTGTGAAAATATTTTACTGTGTGTTACTGGCCTTCTGATTTAATTTTGGATTTTCGCAGGTTGCTACGACGGCCATGTGTATTTCTTGTGCGCTGCATCTGGAAAGACGCAGTGGATGTTTAAGACGGGCGACGCTGTGAAGAGCTGTCCTGCTGTGGATCCCATCACTGGTCTGGTGATAGTGGGCTCACACGATGGACATGTGTACGCCCTGAACCCAAAGGTGAGTGTGTTTAACAGGAAGAGATGCTGAGGCTCTAATGACTCAGAAAACTCACAGATTTCTAAATGACTGTGTGATTACTGTCACCTCTATGAAACTTGAATTTGGCATTTGTTTGTTGTGTGTTGTGTTTTTGACATCCTGTGTAAGGTTTTATTTCATATTTATTATCTGTTTTATTGGTCCTGTTTTCAGGTCCATCAATCAGCCTTTTATTTATCAAATGATTGAATATATGAAATAACCTGCAACATGTGTCAGTATGTGTTGGGTGATGTATCTAAACTAGTAAATGTGGTAAAGATAAATCCAGGTGTAATATGTATGTTTTCTATGTTTTTAGGTTCAACAGTGTGTTTGGAGGCGTCACTGTGGGGGTGGAGCTGTGTTTTCCTCCCCCTACCTCCACACTGCACTCAGACAGCTGTACGTGGCTTCACTGGGAGGTTACCTACTCTGTCTCAACCCTGTGAGTAAAGAAAATACCAAACTTCAGTGAACAGTTTTGCCATTTTGTTCACAGAGGGACATTTTGTCATATGGTGCCCTTTGCTGTCTGATAAGTGTTTCTCTTGTCTCAGGACAGTGGAGAGGTCCTGTGGTCGTACCATAGAGACATCCCATTCTTCTCATCACCAAACGGCTCCTCTGGTTATGTGGTGATCGGCTCGGTGGATGGAAACATCTGCTGCTTCAGCAACACAGGGAAACTGGTGAGATGCACAACTTAAGCTGCTGTATACCTCCACTATGTACCTTGTGTTTTACTAATGCTTTGGCTCAGTTCACCCAATAGTTCCGTAACCAGCCAAGAGCCAAACGGATGCTATCCTTACATACAAAGTGTGGTTTAATATTATATTATATTATATTATATTGTATTATATTTATATATTTCAGATAATTAAACTTATGAAAACATCTAAGGTTTATTATTTTGTTGCAGATCATAACAGAAACAATAAACTGATGCAGTGAAGTGCAGTTAAAATCATTATCTACTGCATATTTGGAGTAATACAGAATATTGGAGAAAGTTTTCAAAGGTCATTCTAACTATACATGATTTAAAATATTGACTTCTGCATAACATTTTTTTTTTAGTATAATCAGTATAATCTTGAGGAAATAATGTTGATATTCTCTGATATGATGAGAAGTATAAAGCATTATTAGATGATCACTTTATTTGAAAATGCAACAATAAAAATTTCTGTGAAAAACAAATTGTTACCATGCCCTCATAATTTGATACTGATAGTTTGTGTGCTATGTGAGACTTTAAGGCAAAGTATAGCAGTGTAGAATTTTGTGTTATAATCCTTAAGATTTTCATGAAATGGTTTCTGATACTATTTAGGGTCAGCATTTTGTTCAGTAACATCCTTTCAATGTATTTACATTCTGTAATTACATCTATGTATACTAGTTTTCATTGTTAGTAGCGGAGTCCGCCATTTCCAGGCTGGATTCACACACAAGAGGGATTCACAGGAAAACGATGCAGCGTGTTGTCCAGCGTTATTGTAATTCTGACTTAATGTCACTGACATCAGCTTCACTTTACTGCTCTGTGTGTATCAGAGCTTATTTAGTTACTGCTAATGCTAACTGAAGATTTCCTACCACTCTTCTGTCGTATTTCTGACAACATAGTTGCTCCCACAATTATGGGACTTGAAGCATCAAATTGCACCTGCTGTTACCACGGTAACCATGGGTGTTGCCATTGAAATCTGAATGATTACAACTTTTTCAAAATGAATCTCTAGCCAAAGTTATTTCAAAATACTGTGACTCTTATGTTTTTCTGCAGATTTGGCAGTTTTTAACTAAAGGACCCGTCTTCTCCTCTCCATGTGTCACACCAGACCAGCAGAGGGTTCTATGTGGATCACATGACGGCTGCTTATACTGTTTGAATTGTGCCGACGGCTCTTTAGTGTGGACTTTCCAGACTACAGGGAAGGTGTTCTCCAGTCCGTGTGTGTTTGACGGCTCTCTTGTGGGCAGGAGGGGGATTCTGGTGGCGCTGGCCTCTACAGACGGCACAGTGTGGATTCTGGATGGAAAGGTTGGAGAAATGCTGGCCTCATTCACTCTACCTGGGGAGCTGTTTTCATCTCCAGTGGTGTGGGAACAGTCTCTTGTAGTCGGGTGCCGCAATGACTATGTGTACTGTTTAAAACTGACTGTCAAAGAAGAAACATAGAAGGATAAAATGTATTCCTGCACTGATTTTATATCTGTGTCAGAGTGGAGCTATGGGAAATAAAACTTTAATTAGAGTTAATGGAAATAATGAGGCTACAGTCTTTCAGTTCAGACATGAGTATTTAATTTACATTATTCATAACATTTTGTATCTCTTTAAGAATTTTCTCATGAATATCTCTAAGTGGGACAAAAAAGTGCAAATAATACCAAACATTTTTCTTGTTACATACAACACTGCGTACACTACACTATTGTGCACGACTGACGTTAGAAACAAAATGACAAAGTGACCCTTTCTGATCGAAGCTCTGGTAACGCCTTTGACTCCCATACAGTACATACTTACATACATACAGATCATTAAGTCAGTGGCAGGAAATGAGAATGCTGGAGAGATTTTTTTTTCATAGAGGAAATGCTTACATTATGTAAGATCATATCACATTTACGAGGAAGTGATGGCGTAAGCCTACAAACACAAGTGTGTTACAGGAGGACAGCTACAAAAATTGTATGTTACAGCAAGCAGGTGTTGTGTCTGTCTCCATTAGCAAAGCAAAAAGTCCAAATTACGTCATCACACAGCTGTGGATAAGGATAGTGTGCAGTTCACTGTAAATGCCCAGTAACACTTGTGGTCTTCAGTGCTGTGTTTAGGTGCACCCACCATGTGATTATGACAGATTCTGGTTACTTTATAATGGCGAAATTGTACAATAGCCTCCTTGACAGCTATCACAGTCATCACGGACACAGTGAGAATTGTTATGCTAAGAGTATGAGTAAAAAAAACAGAAAAAAGGCTTCTTTTGTACATGACAAACAAGGCTCAGAGAGGAGATACAGTATCGTTCAACATAGATAAATCCGCTGCTTTACATAAATAATACCAACGAGGGCAGATAAGAGGCCTGTAACACTTCGATCAGACGTCCGGAAGCAGATTCAACAGGTCGAGTTATTGTTACTGGTAGCCCTTAAAACACGATTCAGACAGTTACCCTCTGTTGAATAAACACTGTCATATGTCAGAGCTTCAACTGTCTAATACAGAAGTGTTTCACCTTTCATTTTGTTGAGCGAATGATTTATTTACAACCATGGTGACACAGTTGGCTAGAAAATAAAAATAAAAAACTGGGGTTGGCTATTGCAATGGCCAGCCATGGTTGTGATTGGCTGCTAAGGACTCTCCGGACTGCGACATGTTCCTTCTCTGTGTGTCTTTTTGGGACATATAATTGTGTGTTTGTATACAGTATGTGCATGCGCGCAACAATTGTTTACATATATTTGTGTGACTGTATTGGAATATTTGAATGTGAAGCGCACTTTAACATCATAATAGTACCAGCCAGTGTGTGGGGTTACAAGGTGAAGGAGGGCTTTACTTGTTTCACAGTCAGGAGGGTTTTTCATGGTGAGTTTTCGGAGGGAAGGGCAGGTGATGGTGACTCTCGAGGTGCTTCGGAGTCCATGGGCAGTGTGCAGTCTCAATGCAGGCCAGAGCCCAGTGTGAAGCTGGGGTGGGGTGTTATTTGATGATCTGAGGACAGTCGCTCCAGGCTTTGGCCTTTCGCTTGGCCAGGGCCAGCCAGGCCGGCTCTGTGGACACCTGCGGAGAGTCAGTGGAGGGGAAGCGCTTTGACACCTCCTTGACAGCAGGTGGCGATGGTGTAGAGTCAGCAATCTCAACTGAAATAAATCAAGGACAAAAATTATGTTTAACGAAACTAATTTAGCTGCAGATAATTTTCATTATCAGTTAGTTAGATTATTTTTATTATTATTATTATTAGAATACATGAAAAATGCCCTTCACAACAAGCCCAAAGTGAAGTCATCATATGACTTTGACACCCCTAAATAATCAATTTACTATAATGTAAAACAAGTTCAAGCAGTAATTTCTCACATTAGAGAGGCCATTATATGGCACCAAATATTTGTAATAACTGGTTGAATATGACTTAACAATTAATTGTCAATCAACCAAATGATTAATCAGCTAATTGTTGCAGCTCTATCCTAACATGAACCAATGACAAATTATTGAAACATTTAAAGGTCCAGTGTGTAACATTTAGGAGGATCTATTGGAAGAAATGGAATAAAATATTCATAGGTATGTTTTCATTAGTCATCATTAGTTACCTTAGAATGATTGCTACACTATTGCTACAGTAGCCCAGAATGTACAAACCACACACTGGCCACCAGTTTCTCCTACACACTTGTAACAGGAAGCTGAAGTGAGGGTGTTGTGATCTGCAACTACACTGCAAAACGCCACTAAATCCTACCACAGTGGTCCTTTAAGAGTTTGAACATACTGTACATATTCCGTCTATTTAATATCATCAAGTAGTGAAAAATGTCTGTCACATTTTCACAGAACTCATTTGGGAAATTCAAATTGTTTATTTTGTCCTGACAAAACAAAAAGAAGCTCATCCTCACATTTCAGAAGCTGGAAGCAGCAATTTTAAGCATTAGTCACTCTCAGCAAAAAATGGCTTTATGATTCTTAGACCGAAATCCTCAGCGTGCAGGTTCTTACCGGTGACAGAGCTGGGTAAAGTGTTGGCTTTTTTCAGATGTTCTCTGCGGTCAAATCGTCCCAGGAGGCTGTCGGGTCTCTTGGGCTCCTCTGGTGTTTGAGGTTTAGAACAGGGACTGGTGCTTCCGCTTCCTCTGCTCTCTGTGGGGCTCACCAGTGTAACCTGCAAAAGAGATTTGTGATGAGGAAGAGGAAGAACACTTAAAAATGATACGAATGTCAAAAGAAATATTAGAAATTGTTTAAAGAGGTGGTGCATACACTGTCTCTATCTCTGGCTTGTTTTTCAGCCAGTTTGGCCTCTCTTTGGCTACGACGCTCATCTCGATTCTGCTGCTGCTCCCTGAAGCCCTTCTGCTTCTGTAGAGCCAGTGTGATCCATAAGGGCCCAGCCTCCTTCTCCTGGACCCTCGAACTGTCCAGTGAGTGCCGGCTCTGTAGTGATGGTTTTTCTGCTGGGTAACATGTGAACACTGGCATATTATTAGGGCAAGATATAGTTTTAAATGTTTTGATTCTAGTACCAATACGATACCTTTCTTTTGGTACCAATGCTAAAATTATACATTTTTTTAACTATAAGCATGTTTTTCTAAAAACCTAAATTTTTCATCAAACATAAGGCAAAGTTCTCAAATATGAAACAATGTCTAGGTGACAGCAGTTGTACAAGTACTTTAAGTAAAATACGGTCTAAAATTGGCACCATTATGATTTGAAGATCAAAGGATAACTTTAATAAGATTACAAATCTGATCAGACATTGATGCCAGTTTTTGTCACTTGACAATATTTCAACACATTTTCAATACTTCACATTTTTGTTGGTACCAAGTAAAGTATTGAGGTTCGATACCCACCCCAACAGATTACACCTATTAGAAGAGTGATCGTCTCATCAAACTCTTGAATCTTATTGCCCAAAATGTTGAACTAATCCTTTAAGCTATGCAGAGGCACAATATGTTAGAGGACTTGAAATTCCTGATTTGCACTGAACAGCACAGGGCTGCATCAAAGTAAGACTAACCTCTCCTGATGAGCTCCGTCTTTCTGTCCACCTTCTCTCTCCAGGGGATGTTAATGGAGGGGAAGAAGGATCTTTTCTCCTTCGGCTCCTCTTCCACTTGGACCTGGCCATGGCTGCTCCGGTGCAACTGGGCCACCGCTGAAGGTTCCTCGTTCCTGTTCGTGTGCTCCTGAGCGGATGACTCTGCAGCCCCCGTTCTCTGAATCACGGCATCACTGGAAGGTCCATGAGCCACTTTAGGTAGCGGTGAAGGGGGAGGTGTGGGGGTGGCTCCAGCAGGTTTGGGTGACGTGGTTGGTCTGCGGTAGAGTGGTGGCTTTGAAAGCACTTTCTCACCTTCGCTGTGTGCAGTGGGGCTGGCTGACTTGCCAGGTTTAGCCCGAGGGCCAGCGGGGGAGGCAGATGCATGTAAGTACTTGCCGACCGCGCCTTCTCTCTGAGGCGATGTGGGACTTGACTTGTCGGAAAAGACAGAGGAAGTGTCAGAGTCTGGCTCGATTGGGGTGAGAGGTGAAGGGACGCCGTCAAAGCTGTCCCCAGCACTGTATCGTTTCTTCCTTTTCTCAGTGGACTGTTCACTGTGAAAGCGGAGGGAGTAGTTGGTCCTCCTCAGCTTAATGCCAAAAGGTGAGGGCTTGTCCTCTCCGTCCTGGGCTCGGTCCTCTCCCTCTTCTCTACTTTCACACACCTCTGTCTCACTCTGAGCCCTACTCTTCAACTCCAGCCCCTCAGATTTGGCTCCAGGGCTGGGAACCAGGAAAGAGGGGAGGTCTTTGGCAAACATACATTCCTCTGACCCTCTTTCTACAATGCGGACCGTTTTGCTGGTCCTGTTCTGAGGTTTACTGGTTGGAGCTGGGGAGGCTGCAGTGGGGCTATCAGACGGAGTTGCTTCCTCTCCTGCTTCCTTATCATCTGCACCGAACACCTCAGAGTTCCTGTTTGAATCGCCAAACTTCTTCTTCGCAGGGGTGATGGAGAACTTGGCGCTGGCAGACATGGTCTTCCTGAGGTTCGAGTGCGGGAACGCAGGCTGCTCTTCACTGCTGGGCTGAGGCTGGTTCCTGCTCGGCTCTGGGTACTCGTCATATTTCCCCTCCTCTACCCCCTTGAATATCTTTGATCTGATGCTAGCCCATTCTGCCAGGACTGCTGCACCGGACTGATCTGGAGAGAGTGCGGACTCATTGAGTGATTTGGTTTTGCCAGACTTACGGTCCGGCGAAGTCTTGCTCTTGGTTGGAGGTGTTCCCTGGGCCTTCCTATCCTCTCCCAAACCGAGCAGAGATTTGCAGGCGGTGTCTTTGATCTGGTCTAAGTTGACAGCTGTCCCACAGAGCTGGGCTCCTGTCACTAAGATGGCTGTGTGGGGGACATATGGAGATGTTGGCAGGTTGGGAGAGTCTGGTCCTTCAGAAGAAGAAGCCTTAGCACTCTCCCTTTGTTCAGCTACAGCACCGCTCTGGTGGCTGGAGGCCAGTGTAACAGGCGTCAGGTTAACCTTCTGGAACAAAATCTGTTTTTCTCCAGAGGAAACTTTGAAAGAGAAAGGCCTCTGTCTCTCCTCCATCTCCCTCCAGCGAAGCTCCTCCGCCCTCCTCTGCTCCTCCTCCTCCTTTCTAGTCCTCTCCTCTGCTTCCATTTTTTTCTTTTCTTCAATCTCGTGCAACCTCAGCTTCTCCGCTTCCTCTTCTAGCTTCCTCTTCTTCTCAGCCTCCAGCTCCTGCTGCCTCCTTGCTTCTTTCTCCTCCTCCTCTTGCTTCCTTCTTTCCTCCTCCTCTTTCCTCCTCTGCTCCTCCAGTCGTCTCCTCTCCTCCTCCTCCTCCCGCTGTCGGCGCTCCTCCTCCCTACGCATCCGCTCTTCCTCCTCTCGCTGCCTCCTTTCTTCTTCCTCTTTGATCCTTCTCTCCTCTTCCTCCCTCTTCCTTCTCTCTGCCTCCTCTCTAAGCCTTTGTTCTTCCTCCTCCTGCTGTTTACGACACCTTTCCTCCTCTAGTTCACGCAGCCTCAGCTCCTCTGCTGCTCTCTTCCTCTTCTCCTCTTCCTCCTGTCTGAACCTCTGTTCTTCCAGCTCCCTCTTCCTCCTCGTCTCCTGTCTGTCCTCCTCATGGAGTCTCTGTTTCTTGAAGCTTTCTAGGGACTCTTCAACAGATGTCCTGCGCTGGTTGTCTGTGGAGATGCCTGCTGCCTCGAGGTCTTCTTGCAGCACACCAGGAATAGATACCTCTTGAAGGTCCTGAGAATGTGAAAATATAATGAGTTCCTATTTTCTTAACCAACACAAGAGTGGAAAATGTCACAAAATAAATCAACAACAGGCCAAGACTAATTCAAGGCAACTCATTGCTTGACTTTAGCTCCTGCTCACCTGTGTAAACCGCCGGTGCTTGCGGGAAATCCTCTGGTTTTTGGGTTTAACGGACAGTTTATGCTTGGCTGCTGTGTTGTCCAAGCGAGGAACAGACTGTGGAACAGCATCCAGATTGATGGACTCGATGGTACCGGTGGGTGGAAGAACTCGTTTGGACCTCGGGGACTTCACTGGGGTGCTGGGTGGTTCAGCTTGTTGGGCCCTCTGGACCTGCTTTTGTCACATAATAAACTGAAACTGAGGGGCGCCCTCACCTAGTACAGCTGGTGCTCCATGTACCAAGGTTGAGTCCTTACTGCAGCAGCCACGGGTTTGAATCTGACCTGTGGCCCTTTGCTGCGTGTCATCCCCTCCCCCTTTCCTGTCAAATTTCAGCTCCTATCTAATAATATAAATCTTCAAAAACTTCTCTTAAGAAACTGATACCTTAAAAGAGTACTCCACCAATTCAGCACTGCACTTCTTTACAGGTTACAAAGGTAAGTAATATCACTTGAAGTCAGACACAGAAGGCTTTAGAAAAAGCTTTGTAACCAAAGTTGACATCGGAATAAGTTAATGAGTTGTTACCTTTGGCTCTGTGTTTGCTGGCTCGGCTTCTACCTGGGCCAAAACCCTCAGAGGACTCTGGGGAACCTCTTCTTCATCTGAACTTCCCTCAGCTCCTTCACTTTTCCTCAGAGAAGGAGGCCTCTGGCCAAACTTTATACCTTGTGCTATCTGCTTCTGTTTGATCAACAAAAAAGATAACACATTACATATGTAGACAGAAGATAGCTGTTCAGCAACTGAATGCACATTGTTACATGGCCCACCTGCAGATTCCTCACTTTATCCGAGACGTTTTCCTGGGACATGCTGTGATCTAGACCAGGCTCAGTCACCGGCTCCTCTGGTATAAAGATGCTGTCGTGTGAGAGAGCTCGAGATCCGATGGGATTCAACTCCCTGCAGAATGAGAGTGTCTTCAGTATTGCAGGGTGCCATTACTTTCAGTCATTCATTCACCATGGGCGGGCTGCAGCGTTACTCCGTAAATCATTTTACACAAACAAATGAATGACCTCTTTACACTCCAGCAATTCCAGCACATCAATTAAAGACTCAAATTGTGTTGAGACTCTTATAAGCTGAATTTGAGCAGAGCCTCACCCTTTGCTCTACAGATTGTGTAACCACAAGTGGCAGTATTTATGATGGGAAAAAAAAGCAAGTAAAGTTGTTTCTTGAATAAACTCTGTCTATCTTCGCTGTCTGGATAAAGGTGGTCCATTCCTGTAAATACCCTTTACTTGTGTTTGCTGTTGTTATCAGCAATAATAAAATGACAACATCACACGCTCGGTTTCATAATGTGTAACTCAAAACAAATATGAGTAAAAATGAAACTTTATCTGTGTAGTTACCTCAGATTTTGGTTGGACTCCTCATCGTCAGATACAACTCCATTGCACACTTCCCCAGTAGAAAAACTCGCCTGTAGCTCTGCTCCATCCAAGCCCCCTTTCGCCTCCCTCTTCTTCTTCCTCCCAAAGAGTCGTCTGAAGGGCTGGAATTTGCCCTGTCGCCTTCTCTCTGTTGGCAAAAGAAAATAGATAATAACCACAGCCACATGCAATCAGATCATCAATCTTTATATCTCGCCCTCGGGCTAGATATTGAGCAGGACAGTGCGTATGGGCGTGTTTTTTTATGTGTGTGTAGATAATGAAATGCAATTGATCGAATTAAAGGAAAATAAATCAAAGTAGCAGATGGAATGAGGAGAAAACCTTGGCTCTTGGGCTCATACTTACAGTATTTACAGGAAGTGAGAAAAATAAACAACACGCATAAAAAGGAAGCACCCACAGCCATAGCAGCTTTAGGAAAGTGGTGACCAAATCCCTGAATTACTGACTGAAAGCAGGCAAACGCATATCCATGACTGGTCCTGAGAGAAAGGAAAGCAGTGAAACCCCACAACCACATCATGGGTATCCACATGATCCACACTTCAAGAGTGTCAAATGGGTGACATGTCAGATTGACCTGCACTTTATCAACTCTCCAAGGTTTACACGTGTACTAAGGGGAGTAATCGTTAGTTAATGACACATTTCACAGCGTATCACTTGCCATTGGGGCAATACCTTTAACCAGATCAAATTAGGACAGAACAATAAAGGAGCCATGTGCAGCCAAAAATAAAAACACATTGACAACTGAACTACGTGATAAAACAGAGCAGTTGTAATAAACACTGTTGGTTCTGGTAAGATCAGTGCTGGCTTATGAGGAAGTCATGAAACAAAGTTTAAAGTTAAAACTTTGGACTTTAGCTTGAAAGCTTTATTTCCTCATCATTTACAATGACAGAAAGTTATAAACTCTTTCACATGACCTAAACTTTCCCATGTGTAAAGGGAAAAACATCACTCTGTTCTCTCTTCAGGATCCCACAGATGAGACTTGTTGACATGGTGTCATTTGAAATGTAAACAGATATCTTGTCGCTTAATTTCAAAATGTAATAAACCTCTCTGTGTTTCCTCAGAACTGCTTTGTGTGCCTTTGCTTTGTTTTTGTCTATGTATCTATTTGTGTGACTGTGTCCATGTGGAGGTCGATTGGATGAACTAAGTGGTTGGGGTTACTGAGCTACACAGCCACTCTACACCACTGTGCAGACAGGCGTTCTCAGGGCTCTGTGGGTATCCCTTTCAGAGCTATAAGTAGCAACTGGTGTGGGATTTCACTTTGCATGCTGCTCGCTATGCCAGAGGCATCATGGGAAATGATACAGTAAACTAATTTCCCCACTTAGATCTTAGACTCTGCAGTGTTTGTCTTCATTTTTGCATGGGAGACTTTTGGTGTTGTTTATGTATTTATATACTATATATACAGGTACAGTATTTACATATATATATATATATATATATATATATATATATATATACAGTATATATGTATATGTATATGTATATACTGTATATAAACAGTATTGAATGTGGGAATTATAATTCTGTCCTTGACTGACAGAATTTGTACTGCTGTATATAAAACACACACTGCCCAGGTTTAACTACAGGGGAATACTTTTATCCACTAAGAGTGAATGTCTCACTCATGACTCATGTAAATCACATCAAACAATCAATGGAAATCAATTGCCTCACTCTACAGTATCCACTAGCATATCTGTGATATTGTCACACAGAAACCCTGTGTCTCCACAAGGGTCAAGAGACAAATACAGTTGTGACAGATGCCACAACTCATTTGGTAACCACAGTTGTGTTTCCAGCTAGTTCACACTTGGAGAACAACTGCATGAAATCAAATTAAGATTAGTTTTTTTTCTAAATGGCACCATTTCATCACCTATGAAGCCCACCTTCCAGCTATAATGTACCTAAATCTTCTTTACTCAGACCCTCTGTTTCTTTCTTCTTTGCCGAGAGTTGGATGAGAATATTGATACCACTCTCATGTTTGTACAGTAGATATGAAGCTAGAGTGTCAGCAGCTAGCTAGAGTCTGGCCAAAGGTAACAAAATCTGCCTCACCGGCACCTCTAAAGCTCACTGATTAACACGTTATATCTCATATGTTTAATTCCTTCAAAAACTAAAGTGTAAACACGATAAGTTGCTGTTTTACTGGGGGCGTCAGGTCTCTAGGTCTTTAGGTCTCTTTTCCTCCTTCTTTTTAATATTTAGGCCCTTGTTGTTTAGGATGGAGATCTTATAAAGATGGGTTAGCTACTGTATAACTGTGTCAGTTCTTTATGGAATTGCTTTTTATGTATTTAACTTACTTTGCCAATGTTTTTGGTTATTATTAACAAGTCCAGTGTTTATATGTTTATATGTATATATACGTATGTACATGCATATAAATGATGTTAATACTCTATGTCTCTTTCTCTGTCTATGTGCAGTGAGTGATATTATGGTGGTGACACTGATGTTCTGTTTCCCTGCAGCATCCTCTTCCAGCATCAGAGCCGTCCTACTCTGGTACAAAAACCCATAATGCACTGCCATGGGCATGCTCACACACCCATGCGTGAAACGAGAAAGGACACTTTTTCTGCAGCGTAGACGACTCAGCTGCTGCACCCAACCTAACACTGGGGTTAACTCCTGCTTCCTGTGTGCTTGCAGTGCAGTGTTGTTTGACCCGAGTCCCCTGGACTCAGACCCCTGCTGGGTTTTCATTCTAGCCATCTGATCAGGAAATACTTCCCATCTGGTGGAGGCAAATTAGTTTGCTGGCAGCAGGAAAAAAACACAGCAGGAGGCTGAAGAATTCTACTATCTCCAAAAACCCAAGATAAAATGAGCACAATGCAGCCACTCACTATTATATATACTGATAACAGTAGAGCCAACAAAGTAACATTGTTAAAGGAATAGTTTGACATTTTGGGAAATATGCTTATTCACTTTCTGATGGAGAACACCACTTTCATATCTGAATGTTCCATATAAAGATATGGCCAGCAGCATGAGTACTTAAACCCCGAACTGACTTAGCATTTTATCACATCCGGTTCCCTCGCCTTGAAGTCAGTGTTTTTTTTTTTTTAGTTAGATGTCTGAAATAAGGTCTAACACAAGCTCTAGAGGTTTTCACATTTTGCTCTTCGACATTTAATACGTCAGTAAATACCCCTACCCCTGAATTTTTTAAGCCTTTACAAGGTGGTTGCTAACACTGGGCTAACTGAGACTACAGAGGTTGTTGGTGATATTAAACATCATATTCAGGCGCACAGTTAGCTCATTCGATAGAGCTGGCGACCCATGTATGGAGTTGCTGCAGCGGCCCAGGTTTGAATCTGAATCTTTGTGGTTTTTATCTACTATAAATATATGTCTATTGCAATTCCTGGACACATTTCTTTACTGATCTGATCTTTGCTACATGGCTTCACAATGGCTCCTGATCAGATTATTTATTGAAACAGCTTGAAAGGGATCAAACAAAAGCTGTAAAAAGGGAGATCAAAGAAGTCAGAGAAGTCAGAAACATGGACACAGCACACTACTATGTAAAAGATCAAATCAAACCCATCACCACACCATGCAGTTGTTAAAGAGACAGTGAAAAAAACATTTAAACTGAGCCTAACAGAGGTCATTTGATCTGCATGGCGTGATCATTGAAGCTGCTTTAATACACTGTCTCTTTAAGATATCTCTAAAAGCACTCATTTTTTCCTATTTACCTGGGCCTTTGGATTCGGTTACCTCTAAAAGCATGTCATGCTTAGTTTCCGTGGCGTCTGTTGCCATGGTCACTGCACACCTTGGCTGTGGTGAGAGAAGAAGGAAGTGAGCATGAGGCTGCTGTTATCTGTACTGCTTTACTGAGGGTAAAAGGAGTTAAGTGTGAGCTTTTAATCGAGGGGTAAGAGAGGAGAGACACATGAAAGATCAGGAAAGGGGTACTGCACATTTGCAGTCAGACTTCCACGTCTTGCTTTTTATTTTGCTCTCCATCGCCTCTAGCATTATCATCAAATAGCTCGGCTTTGTTAGCTCTCGCAGAATGGCTCTCGGTGATTGGCTTGTCTGGGGCACACACGATAAAGCCTTTGCTGTTTAAAAGCAAAATGAGCCCTCTGAGGCCACTCTGTTGTGGCCTGTTGGTGTAGAAATGGTGATAATAAAAAGGCAGCTGTACATCTGAAATCACAACACACAGCTAAGTGGTTGTGGGGATGCACATAGTGCAAAATTGTAAATAAAAAAAGACTTTTATAGCAGCTGAGTTAAACATGTACACTTTCAGCAGGTTGGCCCTTTTCTTCATCTAATGATTAGAAATCCACAGCAGAAATAATCTCACAAACTGCATGAACTGCCTCTTATTTGATGATGATATAGCATCTTATAAACTGACAGAAACCAACAAACACAAACTTCCTCCTGAACACTGCGTCCTCGGGCACCTGTCTGCAGCACGTTGGCTGAGCCAGAGGTTTTCGGATGTACTGCGGAAAATGTGTGTATTGCACAACCACAAGCACCCGGGCCGGCGATTTAAAAAAACAGTGAGTGTGAGACAGTACTGAGAGAGCCGGAGAGGAGCCCGCTGTCTCCAGTGGGATCAGCATGCCGTGGGCTTCCTTCCTGAGGGTGACAGAGCCGGACAGACTCTCTCAGAAATGTCTCGCCCCAAAAAGGCCCTTTGTCCTGTCTGATTCCAGCCAGCGCAGAACAAGGAGCGAACAAGCATGTTTGGTAGTAGGGGTGTGTGAACAAGACAGGGAGTGTGTGTGGTGAGGAGAGAGACTGTATGTGATTGTGTCTGCTGGTGTAAAGAGAGATATTGTGGATTATTTTCTTTTTCTCTTTGTCTGTTTATTTACACGTGTTGACTAGGCTTGGCTGCCATTCCTAATGTTGTCTGTGTGCTCAGAAGCAAGTGTGTGACGTGTTGTTGTTGTTGTTGTTTATTGGTGTGTGAAGTCCTATTGCTGCAGAGGACAGACTTGGGGAGCAACTAGAGATGGGATGAGAGAAGCACGAGGAGCAGCCATGTGCTCTACAGAAGCAAAGAAATGCCTTTGACGAGGATACAGATGCATCATAGTATGGCGGTGGCATAACACGATGCTGCGTCTCAGCGCTCTCGAACGACCCAGCAGCTCAACATCATTTGATGGTGACAGCAGCTCTGCACCAGAGCGGGCCAGACAACTACCAAAGTCCAATGCCATGGCTTAGTGTTGTAGCGGCTAAGTGCCATAACCTTACAGCACAAGTAGCTTGCTGACAAAGCAGACAGACGAACGCGGTGGAGCCGTGTAACAGTTTACCTATTTCAGCTGCACAGCTCGAGATGGCTGCGCACCACTGCAGTAAAACCTTAGGGAACATCGATCTGCCCTTTTGCACAAAGCTTGTTTTACCCAGGTGAACGTCGCTGCTGCCTCCCTCCGCTGTGGCTTTGGGAGAAAACGGTGGAATAAATACAGAACAGTGACAAAACAGCAGGTTTGGGATTGTTAGGTGTGTTAGCATCAGGTGCACTCACAGTGGGGAAACATGAGCATGGCATGGGGGGTGGCATGGGAAGGGGTCGATGAGGAAGCACTTTTAAACAGATGGACAGGATCAGTCAGTAAGTATGAGCTGACAACAACAAATCGGATGAATCTATAAAGCAAAAAGGTAAGTCTTCACTACCACTGCTGTCATCTTAGTCTAGACTTAATGTAGCGTCTCATCAACGCCAACTCTTTGTCACAGTCTCGTTTTCAACCATTCTCGAAGTTAGAGCAGGCTCTGGTTTCCATGGCAACGTGTTAACAGCAGCCGGGGCCAGAGGAGACAGACGTAAGACAGAATCAAGTCACACAACAAATCCTTATCACTACAAACAGACTGATAATAGTTCACTCTGCACACGCCTGCATGTGCACAAACACCATCTCCTGATGTTAGCTGTTGCCAGGTTATGTGCACAAGGACAATAAGGGAGTGTCCTAGTGTGCTTGTTGTTTAGCACAGTTTTTTTTTTTTTACGTGCAAAGGGTGATGGGTAATTACAAATATGGAAAATATATATCAGAGGTGTGTGGTGATTAATCGCTCCCTTCTCAGCCAGCCACACAACTGCTGCCAAAGCTGTGAATAAAGCAAGTCATGACATGGTGGCATAAAATGATAATTCCTCACAGTAATCATGTTTACATAATACAGAATTGTTTTTTTCCCTGAATATATAAACAACATATTCAGTCAAACACATCTGCTATTTCACATATCTTACTGCACTTACAAATGCTGCTTTCCCAGACAGGTTGGAAAGAAGGCCTTGATACCAGCCTCCCCAGGGTGTCTCCACCTCTGATGGTTTGTAAATTGAGAGAAAATCTAATAACTAAACAGTCTGATGTGAGCAGAAGAACATACATTTGTGTGGAAATCTTACAGAGGCCTGGTGCCGATGGTTTTCATACACTCTATGAGATGTTGTGGATGACATTAAGAGTCTCCGTTAATCAACAGTTCATTACAGACTGCTTTACCGGCATTCTTTCTATAGTCACGACAATCGTGGAGATTTGATATTAACCTACATGCATCAGACGGTTGCATTAGCAATTATCTAAACAAAGTATTTATTCACATTATTTAGCATTATTATGTAATTTCTGCACATTTCCCGAAACACCAAATGATCAACCATGTGATGTTAACCTGACAACAAACATATCTTCATGTTCACGGCTCCGCGCACATTTGTGCCACAGATTGTGCAGGTAACAAAGAGAGCAAACAAATGGGCAAAGCACCAACATGTAGTGACACTGTTTGTGCTAATGTTTATGTCGCCATGAAAACAGACCCCTATATGTGTCAGTGAAGTTCAGCTCAGCATGTCAGACCCCAACCTAGGAAGAAGATTAAAGCTGCCAGCATGCTTCTTCAGAACTGCTTGTTTTCAGCAGCTATTTCCATCACTATTCAGGTGAACAACCGAGTGCAACATAATGAATGCCCAGGAGAGACTGAATGTGCACCATTATCCACATTTATAAAAAATATTGCACCGCTCCCTGTCTATGACCCCCAGCTTCTCACTGCTGTCTGTGCCTGAGAGGCTGTGCTTCGAGCTAAATGCTAATGTAAGCATGCTAACTGATGCTCAGCAGGTGTAATACTTATCAGGTTCATTATCTTAGTTTAACTTGTTAGCATGCTACCACTTTCTAATTAGCACCAAACACAAAATGCCAGTGACAAAGACCACCTGCTGGTGGCGCTACATGAAAGGTCAGCAGGATTCACCCTCTGGGGACCACGACTGTCTGTGCACAGTTTTATGGCAATCCATCCACTAGGCACCACAACGGGGTGGGACACCCAACTAACCAACTCTACCACCCGTAGAACCACGCCGCTATCCTGGCTAAAAACCTGGTTAGAGGTACTAAATAAACACCAGTAGTAGCTGTCAGTGCATTAGACCAAATACAATCCAGTCCAGTCCAGCCTGCAGCAAACACTGTTTTATAAATTACATAATGTTCTGTTTTTGTTCCGATATCCTGCTTTAAGGTGTTCTTGGCATTTGTCCACTCTCCAGATATCGACACGGTGCATGTGGAGAAACAATGGATTTCAGAGTGACACGCAACATGTATCACATGACCATGGTTATATTTTCCACATTAGCCAATGGTTAACTGACAATGCTCAAGTGTGCAACAACAGAAAGGCCTTCTTCTCCTCCCTGAGCATCTTAAACACAAACACTGTGACTTGTGATATTCACAGTTGACATTTACCAAAAATTGAAGTGCAGTAATATTTTTACACTTCACTAAATCCTGTCACGTGAGAAGCTCACACCGGTTTTGCATACCAAGAGCCAGAAAATACACAGAAAGAATAAATTGAAACTGTAGTTAAAGTCATCCTACAAACTATGTGAGACCTTCGCCAAAACATTTTATAAACTTTCTGTGTAAGAATGCCTTCTTACCGTCCTGCAGTCGCTCTGTGTGCGAGGGTATCTGTGAGTGTGTGGCCGTTCCACCTGCCTGCTGTCACTGTGGATCTAGGGCATTACCTGGAGTCAGGTGTCAGATGCAGTGAAGGCTTAGTTGTGTGTGTGTGGGGGGGGGCGTACAAGAGAGTGATGGAGTAAACATCCCTTGATATTCTCATATTGATGAAAATTTGATTGCTGTCCTATGGCGCAGTCCCATACTCTGTATTGAAAACTCACGTTGGTGTGGGCTCTTGGGAGCAGATTCATGTTGGAGAGCTGCACATGTACAGTCTGAGGGGAGGAGGCGTGTCGGCGGGGATCTGGGCAGTGTGAGCGCTGAGTGAGGAGAGATGGGCGTTCTCCTGTGTCTGTTAGTGCTGCTGTGCTGAGGAGGCACAAAGTGACACTTTGTTTCCTCCGCCAGATAGCCAGTGCAGGAGAACAGAGTGGCATTCATCATTTCAACTGGCTGATGCACACAAAGGCTTTCATTGTGGGTTAACAGTAACCGTGAATGCACATGTGTGATTATAATGGTTTGTGATGTGGTGCACCATAATTGCTTAATAATATTAAAGTCGTAACTTGTAGCCTTCAGAGCTGACCGCAACACACACAGGTGGAGTGATGATGCTATGCCATTGTTACTTTTGACAGCTAACACCGTTTACATTCATCTTTAAAGGACAGCAGCATAGTTTATAGACTCTGGTAGTCCAAATGACTCAATAAGATCCCAATTTTACGGTCATATTAGTCTGATCTGGAATCATAATGGCTGTGTGCATCAGCATGTAGTGTTAGTGTGTAATAAGGCCGGCTCCCCCTCTCTCCAGCTTTGGCAGCATCACACTGCAGTCTCACAGGGATATGGTAATGATGAGGGCTTTACCAACCTGGATGCCGCCTATATTACAGCAGCATAGCACTTCAAAGACAGACTGCTCTCTGACTGACTCTGTGCAGAAATAACAACGCGCTCTCACACAGATATTCACGCAGGGATCCACTTTATGTGTAAGGAGGCCAGGATCAACCACCCGCAGCTACTCTTGGTGATACTGTGTCAGACGCTGCACTTGACATGTGGTAAAGCAGTCATTCAGAGATTTCAAGGGAATGAAAGCGTAGAATAAATACCTTTATGCTCTCTTTATACCTAAAAAATCTAAATTTCATGATGAGATGAAACAATGTTAATGATGTTTCAAAGGTTAATGGATGATTAGGATGGCCTGGTGGGGGAAAGGAACAAAAAACACAAAGTAAACTAATTTCATGGTCTGCAGTGACATGAAATAGATAAACCCACCTAGTCTTAGTGGCTTCATCACTTGATCTACAGCCTGCTGCATTTCCTTGTTGTTCTGTTTGATTGATTTTACACTGAAATTCCTGTGCTGACCTAACTGCCTCAAACATGTCATTAAAATAAACCTTGATATCAGCAGCAGTCTTAATAGAATACATATTGCGTAGTTTATTATTACAAGCAGAGATGTGTTACATAAGCATGTATAACCTTATCTAGGGACCACATTTTAGAAGAGTTGATGATAACTTGCTTCACACTTAAAAACTGGGACAGACCTCATAAGAAATGTGTGCAGGCTGTAATTACAGTTTTGTACTTTAGATAAGGTCAACTCTGATATCTGTAGAATAGCATATATACACACTGTACATGGGTGATGCCTAACAAATACTTTTTTTATGAGAAGAATGTAACACATTAAATCAAATTAAATTAACTTCACTCCAGCTATATATATACATATATATATATTAGTTTCTAAAAATATAGATTTACATGCAAAACATGCAGTTTTGTCATGAGATGTGATGCCCTACAAACTCCACCCAGGAGCCCCAAAATAAACAGTCTGATGAGGCTAATACATCACACAATGAGCACTTATACTTTTTACACAAAAGCACATAACAGTGATAGGCTAATGCTTCTAATTTTGACTGCCGGTCCTTTATTTCTAACAAGATGGGTGTTTCCAGTTCTGTTTGTTAAATGTGTGCCTGCAAATCAACTGACATTTAATCATGCAGAAAAAAAACAATGAGTCAGACTATCTTTGTCTGCCTTACAGTGAGTCAAATCCATAGTTGCAGTTTTATCTGAGGTCAAAGGGTGATAAGTGACTCAAATAAAATGGATGCTGTCTGGCAGAGCTTGGACACTCCACAGATGTCTCTGAAAAAGATGTTCACTGGTCACCATTTGGGTGGTGATGACATGATAGCTTAGTCAGATCATTGTTTACTGTGCAGCTCGGTGCATGTGAGAATCCAATCCTTCAGGTTGGATGTGAAACTGAAAACTGCTCTTCAATCAGTGATAAGAGATGAAGTCTTTACTCTGAGAGCTCTTCTGCAAAACACAGACCCCAGTGGCACCCAGCACAGCTCTGTGTCTTAATATGTCATCATTCGGTCCATATACCTGCTATTTACAGTTCACACATAAGACAACACACACTTGCCTGTCAATCAGGTGCTGGAGCAGCCAACCAAAAAACAAGACCAGTTACTTCAAAGCAGCACCATAAATCCAGCACAATGAAGCCTATGAATTCATGTCTGGCACGCTGCCATCTATTCTCCGTGCCTCGATGTCTCAGCACACACACACACACACACACACACAGGCTACTGTCGGTGACAGTAATGCAGCATTGATTTAAAAGCCTTTAAACGGCGCGTGGAGAAATACATCGTTTCATTTGGTTTTATTTTCGCACATGTAGGCCCGCAGCATATGGCCTGTGCGTGGTTTTCCAGCTGACTCAAGCATCCTGACATTTCGATGGCTGTATTGTGTACGGTTTGGAGAGAGATCGCTGTGGTGAAAGACTACATCAACATAGACCTAAAGACACGGATCAATACGTAACCGTTAATGGCAGATTAGCGGATGCTGCCGCACAGGGATTACAGTCTATTAATTGCAGACTAAAAAGGCGCACGGAGAACAAAGAATGTGGCCTCTGCTTCTCTCACATATTGTCAGACATGAAATCCAAACAGCGTCAGACTGATCAGCATCAATTTGGATTTGAAAAAAATAACGATTGATTACAATTTGGCCTGTTGACATCGGCGTTTGCGCATTTCAAGCCCGATCAAATTGCAAGTCCCAGCCCATTTACAGCGCGCGCGCGCACACACACTCACACACACACACACACACACACACACACACACACACACACACACACACATCTGCGAAGGATGGAGCAGAAGATCTGAGCAGGTCAATGAGAAATGAGAGATGTGATACAGTGACAAGGTCATCAACGTCGTGAAAATGGAAAACAATCAACAGACACACAACCCAAATGGAAGAAAAGAGGAGAAAAAAAATCCCAGCACCTTATATTTCTCCCCCCGGACGCGGTTCCTCCTTGTGATCGGCTGCTGAGGTAAACCCAGCTCCGGCTGCTCCGACCCCTTTTGTGTTGCTGATGCTGCGGGTGCCCGACAGGGAGACGCACGCACCGTCCGTCCCGCACAGCTGCACGCGTGCGAGCTGGAGATGGGAGGGTGTGGCTGCGAGGACCGAGCACCGAGCGGCGGCGGCGGCGGTGGCGGTGGCGCACGGTGCAGCGCCAACACTGGGAGAGCACGGTGCCGACCACGTTACCGGGGGACGTAAGCGCGTGCTTTTCGGAAGTAATTAAAGAAGCGAGGAGCTGAATGGAAACGCTGTGACCGCCCCGAGGAAGAAAAACACCGTGCAGTCGTTAAGGTGTTAATCCTTCAGGGATGTCTGTGGTTTACTGTAGTGACCGAATGTACAGCCTATTTATAACCATCACCATGCTGTATTTATGATGTGCAGGAGCTACACTGGGTCATAATAGAACAATAACAGGATGGATGCACAGGAGGATATATGTTCTCACACACAGGCCATGGCTCACCACCTCAGGGCTGGGTCCAGTTTCTTTGCAGAGCACATTAAAAGTTCATTTTTGATGCCAAAGATCTGTTCAAATGATAAAGTATGAGTAAATAAGATATTTCCTGTTTATCATTTGTGAGAATGTGCTGCTTTTCATGCCTGGCCACCCCCAGTTTGGTGTCATATGTCACATTTAACACATTAATTTAGATTAAAATAACTTGTTCAAACACGGAAATTAACACATTAATGTGACATGGCCACATTTTAGACTCAAGTTCAATGAAAAAACTTGTATTTAGAAAAATGTCAGTTTATTTCTAATGCCACCTTTAGATATTTATATTGATTGCTTTACAATAATATATATATTTTTTAGTTACAGTATCTTTATTGGAGGGGTTATTTCCCAAATATTGATATATGTGATTGTGATTAAATCAACATTTCTGCCACCCCCACTCTGCTTTATATCCCTATAAACTGAATATATCTTGGGTTTTTGGACTGTTGGTCGCACAAGACATTTCATTTTTTGATTGATTATTTTCACTTTAACAATTAATCATTGAATTGGGAAAATAACCAGCAGATTATTCGATAATTAATGTAATCGTTAGATGCAGCCTTATGCAGTTTTTTAATAAAATGTTATCCAAAATAAAACAGAGTCATTGTTAAAAGATCCCTGAATAAAGGTAAAGACATAATAATATATCAATATATTGAGGATCGTCTCCAAACCTGAAAGCTGCTAAGTTTCAAAGCATGAAGTAAGATTTATGTTTTAACCCATTACAGGCAAAACATGAACGCATAAAAGAGCCCTTTCAACTCAGAAGAGACCATTTTAACACATGCCAATGTTTAGAGCATGTGTTCTAACAGATTACTTGCTAATGTAGATGAACAAAGTATTCCAGGAAGTGTGCCAAGGATTAATATCAGAATCTGACATTTCTTTCAGGTTTACAGTAATAGGCTTTCCAAACTCGAGGCTAAATACAACCCCAATGTAGCTTGTGTAATTAGCTAGCACCAGCTATGCTGTGAAGTTTATACAACCTAGATCTATATTGATACTTGGCTTTTAACAGTTACAGGCCTGTTTCCATTCACAGTAATTCAAGTACTTCTGATAAACAAAATGTATTTCCTGTGTCGTGTGTACTGTAATAGACAAGAGATAAGATTGTGTAGGCCTTAACAGAAAAAAATGCAGAGGTTTGGATATCTTAGCATCTTAACAGAGTGGGAAGATGCAAGATCTAGCTGTGATTACCAACGGCGATTACACTAATTAGGTTTTGAATCAGCCTATTGTGGGAAAAGGTGATGTGAGCTCATCACTGACTGGATTGATGGGTGGATGGGACTGAGTTAAGCTTCTGCTCCTCCATACAGAGTCTGGTGATGTGGCTTTGAATGATATTACAAGACTTGTACACAACTGGATGGATTATATCTTAAAATGATCTTACTTCACTGTATACCTTTAACAAATGACTCTAATAAACATTCATGCAGTGTAAGTGCTGTCTGTCTTTAACTGTGAAGACTTTGTTTGCCCTTCAGTGAGTATTGGAGAACATCATTGTAAACTAAACCCGTATAATCAGAATCGGGTTTATTGCCAAGTAAGTTTTTACACGTACAATAAATTTGTCTTGGTGCATTGGTGCATAAAAATCACACAAAAATAAAGTACTTTTTAAAATATAAATAAATAAAGATAACGATAAAGATAGAACGATCCAAAACATCCAAAATAAACCTATTCAGTGAAGGAAACTTTGAAAGTAAGGACCAAGGAATCTTTGAGGGTCCCCTGAGCTATGGCCAAACGATGAGACCCAAACCTACAATACACAAGCTGCACTACATCACCCAGCAGCCATGGGGGCACTTCAGGTTCCCCATGGAGGAGGTGCTGTTGTCTTCAGCACCTCCTCCTGCACGCTCCTGTTGTTAAAGCACACAGCTCACACACACACTTTAAAGTACGAGATAAAACGTTCACTATATACCACTCATACATAAGAGTTGTGTATGCTGTGTTGAGCTCTTGGCATGCATTGGGGGTGATTTTATTTTGAAAACCGGATGTGTTTTTATTATTTTAGATTACATTAGTTTCCTCCGTTGACGATAATCCTGTGAGAGGTAACGTTTATAGGGAGCAGATATATTTAATAATTTATTAAGTCATTTTATGAGAAGAATTTTATTTGGTCCTAACTTTCCATTTGTTTGTCAAAAGTTTTATTTTGACAGTTCATACGGAAATGGCTGTATTGACGGCAGCAGCCTTGACGCACTTCAGCAGTTAACTATGGGTACGTGGTAGGTAACCAACGGTCTCTTCTTACGTAGTAACGTTAGTTAGCTGTGAACTTTAAAAAAGCTAACAGGTATTGAACAGACAAAGCGGAACATAAAGTATGCTTCCTCGCAGGCAGGACTACGGGATGAAACGGACCGGGGGAGCGCGTAGCGGGTCACTTATAAACTTTAGGACAACGGTGAACTCGGGCTCTGGCCGCCGCAGCTCCGCGGTGCTGCCGTCGCTGCTAACGTTCCTGGTGATCGTCGCATCCGGAGGCCTGCTGCTCATGATAGAGAAAGGAATGCTGAACAGCATGGAGACGCCTCCACCCCGGGGGAGCGGCAGGCGGCTGGACTTCATCAGGCAGGTTGGGAAGCACAGCCCGGCTGCTGTGGACGTGGATTCCCAGGTAAAGTAATGGACCATGAAGTTCTGCTGGAGTTTTATGGGTGCCTTTTTTTTTCTCTAATTTTTTTTTTTTTTTACCGAGAATAGGTACAGTTTGTGTCTCGTGACTATGTATATTTCACAATAATATAAGATGTGTCATAAACTGTAGGAATAAAGGATCCACAGCCATTTCGTTAGTGATACATGTAGTGGGTAAAGACTGGCTTTAAGTTGGTGATAAATGGGAAATAAACACCACCAACAATCAAAACGTATTTCCTCAAAACTTCTGCTTTGTTATTGTTGTCATGGAAAAGCCATATGTGTGCATTTTAATGAGGGGATCTTAAACATTAGAAAGTTTGTACTAGGTGGTCCCATGCAATCCCTAATTCTCAATGCAAAATAAGTGTGTATACTGTGTACTCACTGCTCATTTAAAGGGGCTCTGCAGCGAGACTCTGAAAAGACAGTTTAAAGATACAAGGGTCTAAACTGGGGTGCCCCGGTAGAGCTGGTGCCCCATGTACCAAGGCTTAATCTTTGCTGCTGTGGCCATGGGTTCAAATCTGACCTTTGACCCTTTGCTGCGCATCATCCTCTCCCTCCCTCTTTTCCTATGCATCTCTCAAGCTTTCCTGTAGTCACGCTGAATATACCCCACCCCCCAAAAATGAATGGTCAAAACTGAAGCAACTGAGATAAACATATTTTTAGTCCCAAGTACAAGTCCATTTTCCCATAATGCAACTTGATAGTCTTTTAATTAGACCTTCGCTGCCTGGTAAAAACCCACATCTTTTCAAAAGGTCCTGCAATTCATTCAAGGAGAATGAGTTACACATGAAAAACACAAACACCCCTATCTTGAGCCAGGGTTGGGTTTGACTAGTAACAACTGATGTTTATGTGTAATTGGTGGAATGCACCTCTAAGTAAGCCACTGATTTGCGTTCACATCTAGATCCTCCAGGAGATCCGCAACCGGACCATCAGGACCATGTGCAGCCAGAAGAACATGCCCCACAGCATCTGGTCCCTGAGCCCCCTGCAGAGGAAGACGCTGCTGCAGCACGTCCTGGTGAATGATCAGTACCACTTCCTCTACTGCTACGTCCCCAAAGTGGCCTGCTCCAACTGGAAGAGGGTTCTGAAGGTTCTGAGCGGAGCTCTGGAGAGCGTGGATGCCAACATCAAGATGAACCACCACAGCGACCTGCTGTTTTTGTCTTCTCTTAAACCTGAGGAGATCCGTTACCGCCTCAAGCACTACTTCAAGTTCATGTTTGTGCGGGAGCCCATGGAGCGCCTGCTGTCTGCATACAGGAACAAGTTTGGCGAGATTCAGTCCTACCAGAAAAAGTACGGCGTGGAGATCATAAAGCGGTACAGAAAGGGTCGCGCTAAGGACGCGTCTGTAACAGGAGACGATGTGACCTTTGCAGAGTTCGTCCATTACTTGCTGGATGAGGACGTGGAGCGCATGAATGAGCACTGGATGCCAGTGTACAACCTATGCCAGCCCTGTGCTATGAACTATGACTTCATCGGCTCCTATGAGCACCTTGAAAGTGATGCAGAGTTTGTGCTGCAGCGCATTGGAGCGCCTCCCTCTGTTCACTTCCCAGAGAGGCAAACGTGGTACAAGCCGGTCACCACGGAGACGTTGCACTATTATCTGTGCCGCTTACCACAGAAGCTATTGAGGGAACTCCTGCCCAAATACATTTTAGACTTTTCCCTCTTCACGTATCCTCTCCCCAACACAACCACTGAGCACTGCCGGCATTAAATGTGTAATGTTTTATAGTTCTGAGATTATTTTTTATAGAGAATGATTTGTACTATTTTTTATTCCTAGGGAACAAACAGTATTTTGAAAGCTGTTACACATTTTTACTTGAGAATATCATTGCAAAATGCTGATTATTGGAAGAGATGGCGACTTGACTTCAAAACCACTAAAGCTCGAAATCAGCTTTAGAAAAAAAATCATGTAAATCACGTTGTCCAGTTTCAACATGTTCCTGTCATGCACTGTTACAGTATACTGAAATGGAAATAAGGTTGCAAGACCAAACTTTGTATTTTGCTTGCTTCTTCATCTTCTTCTTCATCAATGCAGAAGCTAAAGGGTTAAAGGCTTCAGTGGTTTAGCAGGCTAAAACACATATACTGAGAGTTGTTGGTTTTAAA